TGCAGTTGAAAACAGTTAAACCGACTATCTGCAGCATGAGGATAAAGAATGAGCCTCCTCCAATCGGCCTCTTTACTTTCTCTTTACTTTACTTTTACTCTACTTCTTCACGTTCTTGTATAAGGGAACAGTGTTGTACGCACTCTCCTGAAGACATCCATTAGCCTACATATAATAAATAATACTGTTAATAGTATACAAATGCAAATTTTGTCATGAATAAACTGAAAAAGGCCCCCCAGACATAAAGGCATGGAGGCAGGGAATTTTATATTTACATTTTGTAGCATTTTATTCTTAATTTTTTTTTTTCAAAAGTAAAGATATTTGTGTATTGCTGTACATCCTGTGTGTATTAAAGAGCCCATATTATACATGAAATAGGGTCATATCTTGGTTGTAAGGGTCTCCAACAACAGTTTAATATGCATGCAAGGTCAAAAAACACTTTCATGGTCTTATAATCTGCATTTATTTTTATCTAATTATCCCAGCGACTCCTGTATGAATCGTTCAGGGATTCATTTGTTCCCAAACCCCTCCTTAGCGCGAAGCTAATCTGCGCTGATTGGACCGATGACAGTCTGTTGCGATTGGTCGACTGCCTTCAGTCAGAGAGTGAAATGCCAAACAGCTAATCAGCAATATAAAAGTAATCACAGTTCATACACGCTCGATAGTGTAGGCGTGGATTTTAGCTGCCAGTGGGTCAATGTAAATACAGACTATGGACTTGAAAATACAGACGACTGACTATTTTATTGAACAAAAACTCCAAAAACAGTTGAGGAGATCTCCTAGCTTCTCACTCTGCTCTTTTCACAGACACACACACACACTCACACACACACACACACACACATACGCACTTAACCCTGCTCCGGACGACAACGCGCGCGCGCACACACACACACACACACACACAAACACACACACCTCCGGACGACAGCGCGCGCACGCACACACAGACACACACACTAACGTTACTCCCCGTCCACGGAGCTCCGTTAACGCAGCACGCGTCGCGTTTTTAACGTGACTTTGCACGCGATAAGAGAATATAGCCAGTTAACCTGATACAGTACACGCGGTTACAAGTAACAAATCACAACTAAATACATTTGCAAGCTAGAGTCAACGAGGCAACTTTAATCGCACGTACTTACACTTGAGAAATGGAGGAAGAAACCCATCCTGACGTCTATCAGTAAGTTACTGATCCTTCCTTTAACAAACGCAGATGAAGTATTCTTTGTAGCATGTAGCTTCCAGAAGTTTCCAGTAGTTTCCAACTGCTTGGCTATAATGCTGAGGTTTCATCTTTGGGTAGAGACTCAATATATCCATCTGCAGTGTGACTTCAATCGACCGGCATGTTTGTGTGTGTGTGTGTGTTTGTGGGTGTGTGTGTGTGTGTGTGTCTCGGTTTCTGCGTCAGAGGGCGGGGCCTCAGGTTTGAAATCTCCCGGGTTTGCGCGTGCACGTGAATAACTTGGTTTCGTTCGTACGTCATGGCGAAACACCTAATGAATCCGTATCAAGGCGACTCGTTTGAAGCACTATGAGTCGACTCTTTAATAGATGAATCAACCGTTTTTAACACTGTACACTTACAGATTTAAGCCTTAGCTGGATACTCCACTTCACTTAGAGCTGTGTTACACACTACATGGAGGGGAATTTTCAAAAACCCATAATATGGGCTCTTTAAGCAATGTGTAAGCTTGGACCCACATAGGCAAATAACTAACACGCTCTGTGCTGGACTTTAGACCAGCTTTTAGTTGGTCAATGAGTTCCTCAAAATAGCAACATGCCAGTAATGCACAATTCTGATTTTTTTTATTATAATGTGTTAAAAAGTGTCATTTTGTGGGTGTATACACAGGTCAGTGTTTTAGAGGTTTGCTGCTTCAAATTAAAATTAGTTTCAACTTCCCGCCCAACTTAACAAGGGGGCAGAGCCAAGAGCTCCCCCGCTTTGTGTATGGCATCAGACAGGCAGACAAAGAGAAAAGCAACATGAGTGAGAGGACCAGCATTCAGCCGTAGATGTACTCAGACACAGACCAAGCAGAGACTACTCTTGAGGAATCAATATTCCTAGTGTGCCAGAATGTGTCAGAATGGTAGTTACAGAATCATTTGTGTCTTTTTATAGTTTTACAGCTGCAACAATGCATGCGTCTTCTGTATTGGGATGTAATGATTAACTGGTTTCACTATTAACCATGCTTTAATTTGTCACAATTAATTAATTATAAAGGCTTCTTAACACCGTGTTTCTGCAAGGAACAAAACGGCGGCAACTAAACAAAGTTATGCCAACTGTGTGCTAGTTTAAAGTTCCGATCTTGTACACCGATACTAATAACCACGCACACTGGATTAACTTTGACTGAGGCTATGACTAAGGCAAGTTTGTTATTTCCAATGGAGGGGCGCGCATGTGAGGCAACTCGCTCAAGCTTTACAGCCGCACATAGTTGAGATGAGAGGGAGCTTCTGTGGCCGCGGGAAATGCAAACAGCTAAAGTTTAAGAAAGACGCAATGAAAAGTACACGTTTGCGAATCTACCTAAAGTTACAAATAATGGCGCAGATGAGAGCGTTCATTTGGTAAATGTTGATCCACCAGCCGAGATCAATCCAGTGTTTTCGGAGAGAGTGCTGAAAGACTCAGTGGATCAGCTGTTTTTAATGGCCCGAATCTCAATACGTTGCATTCACTGCATGCTGCAGTGTGAACGCACTTCTACGTCAACTTGCGGTTGGCTCAAAACCGATCCCAATGGTCCACCGTTTTTATGTTGGTAAATTGAAAAAAATGACTGGGTGTGTTTATATCACCCCAATATGACAGTCTATACACTATACCTACACATGTCTGTCCAAAGATTTTTCACCATAGATGCCCTTTAAATCACACAGGCTTTCTGCAACTAGTCATCAGCAAGTAATCAACAACTTTAGACTGCAAATTGTGACAAAAAATAAAATAAAAATAAAAATTTTACATTTCACTTGACGTGTAGCACACTATACAGACTTTTTCATAAAACATTCAGAACAATACAAACTATAAGGGATGATGTAATGTTTACTTATAAAACTGATTCCATCCACAAAAAATCCATCTTTAAAAAACTGCTGCTGAAAACATTCTAAGAAAACACTCTGAATAAACAATGGGTTTGAGTTGTAGAATGACTGCAGTGCAGTTGGCCCACTGGAGAGGTAATCAGGTCTATTTGCATCAAACATTAATGTCTACTCATACGAGAAGAAAAGAGCTCTTAGCTACTTCTGTCTGGTGTTTCTTATTTGGTTCATGTCCAGTGGGACGCACCTGCTGCTAGGAGCTCAGAATTTTTAAACGTGGGAATCTTTAGTGGACATTTTCTCCGGTAATTGAATGAAACAAACTGACTTTATACAGCATATCAGTACTATCATCAAATGTATTGGTAATTCATTAGAGAGCTTCATCCTCAGTAAATTCTCCTTGTTCTTCTTAGGTGCGTGTGATTCTGCTCAACTGGTGTGCCTGGTTCTTGCGCATGAAGAAACCAGGTGAGGAACGTAAAGCCAACTTCAAATATGACCAGTCTCCTGCACACCATGCTAGTGCCAGCAGTATTCAGATGGGGGTCATGCCAGGTCAACCTTCCTCCACCAACTCCACCACAAATGGCCATATGAACCTGTACTTTGGCTACCACTCCATTGACAGCGCCTGTTGTCCACCCAGCAGTGACTCCGGCGTGTCTTGCAGCGGTGGACGAGTTGGTGGATCACCAAACGAAGAACAGCGCGAGGGAGTGAGGATGTTTGCAGGTGAACCAGAGATCCATCGCATCCTGGCGGAAGTGATGTACATCGCTCAGCGATTCCGTGACCAGGATGAAGCCGAAGCCATTTGCAGCGAGTGGAAATTTGCTGCGGCAGTCGTGGATCGGCTCTGTCTGGTGGCATTTTCACTCTTCTCTATCATCTGCACTTTTACCATTCTCATGTCCGCACCAAATTTCATCGAGGCAGTTTCAAAAGACTTTACATAATTGTGATAGGAGCACATTGGGGGCTTTTTGGTTGTTTTTAAAGTTATTAAAATAAACACGTGATTGAGTGTGAGAAGTGTCTACCGCCAAAGTTGAATCCTTCCTCTACTCATCGTTCTCAAATCCACGAGAACTGTTGTTACAAATAATTCATATAAAAAAAAAGAAACTAATAAATAAAATTGTGTATTTTTGAAATGTGACTTTTCGAACAAACGTGCAGACCCTTGGACATGCTGTTTGGGTGATATTTTATGTCTTTATATACTGTATCTGGACCGAGCATTGAGAGTTGGTTTATTTGAAGATGTGCTCTGTGTGCTAACTTTGTTAGTCACAACAGCTACAAATGTGTCTGTGAAGTTTGTGTTCTGAAAAACAAACATAATGAATTCCCAAATCCCTTTAAAGCGTAAACGTTTTCTTTAGTAATATTTTTGGCACCATTTAACATTATTTTAGTACGAACATTTTTACTGAACCAACAAACAAATCCTTACATTTTTAACAAATATTTCCTTACCAAAGCAACAATAGCATTAAGGGTTGAATTAATACACTCTGTTACTGTCACTTTCATTTTTTTGAAGTGTTCTATTAATATTGCAGTTATTAGTGTGTTCTAATCTCTCACTTGTGTCCGGTTTGTCCACGTAAATCAGAGTGTCATTATTTTGTGACCATACTGACCCTGTGCTTTGTTGTATTATGTAAAAATACTATGTAAACAGTGTGGATATGTCATTTTGTTAGAAAATATAGATAAAAAAATAAATAAAACAATTTAAAGTTTTGGGTGAGTCTATGTATTTTGGAGTAGTTGGCGTTTATTTGTTATAGCTCTTTATTTAACCTTTTAAAACAGCATTTTTACTTACCTTGCTATTTATTTTGAAATATGTTGTGGCTTGGTGAAAGAAAAATCAAAACTACAGTTAATTTTGTTTTAAAATGCATTTTTAATGGTTTTTTTTTTTAAGATGTAAATGTTTTTTATGTTCAAAAAAATGAATAGCTTTTTTGAGAAAGGATCTAAAATTGAACTGGAGAGGTAAAGCTTTGCTTATTCATTGAGTTGGCAGAGCAGTGCAGAGGCTTTTGAGATCCAGTAGTCACTGGGCTGGTTGGATGGCAACATCACAGTTACCACAAAATTGGTGGAGTGTCCTAATAGACAAAAAAAAAAAAAAACACAATAAAATGACATTTTTATGAATTTTATATTCATGTATAAAAGGCAATTCATATTTATTCAATTCAATTCATTTTTATTTCTATAGCGCTTTTACATAGATTGTATCAAAGCAGCTTCACATAGTAGATCAGTTTTCAGTGTTAAAATTCAGTTTAGTTCAGTTCAGTGTGGTTTAAGGTCTGCTGAGAGTTCAAATACATTAGTGATGCTAATGTATCTAATCGATCGTCTAGAAATATGTATCAACCAATAGTCACATTTTGTAAACTCAATTGGTACTCTGCAATCTGGCCGATCTCATGAACTGATTGTGTTTGTTTATGATTTTACAACGGTTTACACACTGAGGGGATACACGTGCGCACCCAGCAGCGCTAAAAAACGTGAGAAAAGAAATGATGTGTGTGGCGTGAGCGACGGTTGTTCTCCCAACACAGCAGCTAAAAGATATACAGATGTGGTGTGACCTCTTTTTAAAGAGTTTATTGGCACATCAACGTTTTAAGCATTACAGGTTAAATTGGATCCAACTTTTTGTAATATACAAAATAAAAATGAGTAAAGAAGTCATAGTTATAGGTGTGCATTTTAACTTTCCCATCTTTTTCTTCAGTGAGACATGTTAAATGATTATTTCATAATTTGCAGTGGTTCTAAATTGCAGTCAATCATTTTTAAATCTATTTTGCTCTGTAAAGCTGCTTCTGACCATGGCTACACTAAATGGTTATAAGAGACATGTTTAAGGAATTATATGCAACATTATTTATTCTCTTAGGTAAGGTGAGATCTCAACTTTCAACTATCATACGTTGAGGGAAAATGTGCTTTATGCATTATAAAGCATAAAGCATCGCAATCAGTACTCTGTATCGGTCAATCATGATGACAGGGAGTTGATACATGGTATCATCTGCCTCAAAAATCCTGATCGGAGCACCCCTTATATATATATATACAGTATTTTTCATTTCAGATTCATTCAGTTATTCATTCATTTTCTTTTCGGCTTAGTCCCTTTATTAATCTGGGGTCGCCACAGCGGAATATATATATAATAGGGGCGACGCAGTGGCGCAGTGGGTAGCATGTTATATTTATAATTATTATGTACAAATAAATATTTATGTACAAAACTGTAACTATAACTTTTTTTAACACAATAGCTATATATATATATATATATATATATATATATATACACACACACATATATACACACACACACACACACACACACACACACACACACACACATATATATATATATATAGCATTTGTGTTCAAAAATAAATTTATAGTTACAGTTTTGTACATAAATATTTTTCATTTAGTAGGATATCTGATTAAATGACACAAGACTGTACCTGTGGTAGAGAGAGTTCCAGCTCGAGCAGAGGTCTTATACAGTGGTGCGTGGTAGAGGCTTGGCTCAGGAACATAGTTTTGCTGAGGTTCGAAATGAACCACAGGCAGCATAGGGTTCATTACCCTCGAAAGTGCATCTTCAACTACCATGCTTGTGTCATCCCAGCGACAGGCGTCCATGAACATCCCATGAACCAACACACCATCCTCTATGTTGGGGAGCTAAAGAAGCAGACCACATATTGACTTCATCAACATTTATGTTATCTTTTGAATTAATATCATGCAAATTTGTGCTATAAAAAAACAACAACAATGTACTTCCCATGTGCTTACTCAAAAAAGCACATGCAATCACGTGAAATACATTGAACACGTGAAACATGGTTTCTCTGTAAGAGAAGAATTTAGAACTGTTTAAAAAACATTTAAATTAAACTTTAATACATATGTTGCAGGTCCCGTGAAGAGTTATTAAATGCTTTTTTTATTTGATGTTTGAAAATCTCAACAAAAATGAAGATATGGTGGGACATAGTGTGGCTCCTCCTCTTAAAAAAATTATTTAAAAAAACAGTTAAACGCGTTCCGTTTGATCATCGCTCTGCCTGTATGGGTGGTTAAGCTCAAGTGCACGTCAGATTTGATTGGTCATATTTTTATGAGAACCTGAAGTATGTGGTGACGTGAATAATATCGTTATACCATTTAGGTGACCAACTGCAAGCTTTACATTATTTCATTTATTTATTCATTCATTTATTTTTCTTTGGCTTAGTCTCTCATTTATCAGGGGTGCCAACTGGCCCACCCAGGACTCGAACCAGTGCTCTTCTTGCTGTGAGGCAAGAGTGCAAACCATGCCACCCCGAGCTTTTACATTCATTCATTACTTTTCGGCTTAGTCCCTTTATTAATCGGGGAGAACATGCACACAGAAATGCCAACTGACCCAGCCGAGGCTTGAACCAGTGACCTTCTTGCTGTGCGCTGACAGCACTACCTACTGCGCCACCACGTCGCCCAGCTTTTACATGTTTATATAAATATTAAATCTCCTGAACTCTGAATTTTTTGTCACTTTTTTGGTGCAAATTAGCTTATAGATATAAAAAAATAACAAGTATCAAGCATTAAAAATCCTTTACATTTTTTTTTTCATGGGACCTTTTAATGTTGTCACAGTGGTTGCAATGGGTAGCATGATCGCCTCACAGCAAAAAGGTCGCTGGTTTGAGTCTCGGCTGGGTCATTTGGCATTTCTGTGTGGAGTTTGCATGTTCTCTCCATGTTCACGTGGGTTTCCTCCGGGTGCTCAGGATTCCCCCACAACTCCAAAGATGTGCTATAGGTGAATTGGGTAAGCTAAATTGTCCGTAGTGTATGTGTGTAAATGAGTGTGTATAGATGTTTCCCTGTAATGGGTTGCAGCTGGAAGGGCATCCGCTGCGTAAAACATATGCTGGATAAGTTGGCGGTTCATTCCGCTGTGGTGACCCCAGATTGATAAAGGGACTAAGTCGAAAAGAAAATGATTAAATGAATGAATGAATGAATGCATGAATGAATGGGACCTTTTAATATCACTTTTTTTCCCCTCTTACCTCCTGGTCCATGTCAAGTTCTTTCCCTGGCGCAAGGGTTTTCTGAGCTTCAGTGACAAGGGTCTGGTCTCTGTATACTGGAACCATGTTAAAACGAAAATTCAGTTCATCTATAGGCAGGTTGTATTTGCGTGCGTGATTCTGGAGGGAACCTACAAGACACAAACACCAACTTTTTATTGAACAAAAGAGTTTCAGATGACCTTTGAAAAATACTGTAAATGATATTTGGTTTTCACCACGCATTGATGCAAGCTTGTTACATACCTGTGAGGAAACCTTGAGGAAAGAAGAATCCAGAAATCCAAAAAGACTTAGGCTGACCCCTTGTGATCCAGTTCTGCTCCAAGACACACAATCACACATACAACCAGATATGTGAATGAAGAGCAAACATCATTTAAAATAAAAAGAAGCAAAACAACTTTAACCCCCAGTGGAAAAGAAGTCAAGTCAAGTGTGAAGCTAACAGATCATTTCTACTTCACATCATTCAGATCCAATGAAAGAATAAGTGACTAGATGGTTGTAGCTGGTGGACACAACAACCAAAATAACTCCAACTCAGACTCTCAAATCATACTACGGGGGAGGTTTTAGCAATATTTCTAAGCAGATAAATAATATATGTTAATATTAGTGTGTTAAAATCATTCAAGTTTACCTAATTTCTTTGCCCAACAAAGTTTGCAGCAAGGAACAACTGAATTGTTATTTATTCAGTGGAAATATTGCCTTTTGGCTCAGCTCTTAAATTGCATTCACCCTCCAAACTGCACACTTGCTGCTTGGCAAGAAACATGACAAGAATGTCAATGAGGTTTGTGCGCTTCCTTCTCTAAATCTCCTCTTCATCATATCATGCTGGAAAACTCTTGAGTATAGCACAGTCATCTACACATTTTCAAGACAGGCTTACTTTTTGGCTTTTTTTCTCCTAATATGAATCTCTTTTGTGAAAAATAGAGTAATTTATGTTAAAATGTCTTGTCTCTGAAATTGTTAAATATCTCACATAATATCTTACGCATACAGTACACCATTTATTCATTCATTGTTCATTCTACTCTGCTATTCCGAATTTGGGGTTTAAAATTTCCATACTTTTAAAAGAGCCACTATTATGAATTAAAATGGATCATGTTTGGGTTTTGGGGGTCTTCAACAATATCTGATATGCATGCAAGATCAAAAAACACTTTCATTGTCTTATAAAATGCATTTTATTTTCACCTAATTATCCCAGCGACTTCCATATGATTCGTTCAGCGATTCATTTGTTCCCTAACCCCGCCTTAGCGCAATGCTAGTCTGCGCTGATTGGTCCGATGACCCAGTCTGTTGTTATTGGTCGACTGTGTTCAGCATGAGACAGAGACAAATGCCCAGCATGGCTCATCAACAAGTAGTCAGAATGTGTAGAAACACAGCAGCAACAGCTGGACTATTTTAAACCCTGACCGCTGCACGTGTGTAGGAACAGCTGACGGTGGCCATAGCAACGACAGTGGATCTCGAGCTCATAAACGCATTTAAATCCATTTAAAATTTTACAAGCGGAGCGGAATGACCTGAACGGCGTGCCTGGTCTGTCATGTGACCAGCCACCGGCTGCCATTGGAATAGTAGGTGATCCGAGGGTGTTATAGATTGTACCTAAAACTTAAGGACCGGGGGAAGGGGGTGAAATGACCGGACTGTTCTGAGAGAAATTACAAAACTGGAGATGGGTCAGTAATACGGGAGACTCCTGAATAAAAACGGCCTTAACTGGATATTTCACTTCAAGCTGTGTTACACACTACTACTGGAAAGTCTTTTTAAAAACCTATAATAGGGGCTCTTTAAAAGAAATGAATGAGAATTTAGTAAAATAAATGTTTAAATGTTAAAAAATTTAAACTAAATGTTTAAATGTTAAAGTTTTTGAAATGTTTAGAATGTTTAAATGTGACAGTAAATACACTTGTAAGGTTACAAAAGGTTTCCATTTAAAATGAATGTCATACTTTGACTATATTTATCAAGTGCAACCTAAATAGCTTCAACAACCTAAATAACTAAAACAACCTAAATAACTTCAAAATGTGTCAATAATTTAATCAATACTTTTTATCAAAGTATCCTGAAAAATATATAATGGTTTAAAAAATAAGAAATAAAATAACAAAATACTCTTTAACACGACATGTCATTAAAATTACAAAGCGCTAAAAAGAAAAAAAATCAATAAAACAAGCAAATAAAGTTATTCTAAATATAGCAGTAGTTTATTTATATTTTGTGAGACAACAAAAATCCTAATTAACCCAATACCTTTGAATTATATTTTATATCCAGTTACAAAAAAATGTGTACAAATGTGGACAATTAAGGAGAATAACATCAGTTTTGTTTCTTATCCCACCAAGCATTTCTGTGTTTAAAATACATCTAGTAGACATCTAAACAGATATCTGAGATGTTTCTCATAGATTTTCACTGAGAACCTAGAATTATCCTCTTTTTTTTTTGCCAAGACACCTGTGTTAAAACATCTATAAGACTTCTTATATATATATATATATATATATATATATATATATATATATATATATATATATATGATTTTTATATTCAGTATTGTACTTTAGTTTAAGATTCGGAAGAGACCTGAACTAGTCAAGTTAGCATACACTATGCCCGGCATGCTTGCTGAGTCCTGAAACACATTCTTCTGCAGTCCATCCATATTAACATGAGCTTATGGTGTGTGTCTGTGTGTTATATAAGTGAGCACTCAGACCAGCCACATGGAACAGCACATCCCGTCAGAGATAACAGTTTGGGTGTCCATCAACCCGTGCAGTGAGCTATGATCATGTGTGTGTGCCAGACTGCAAATCCAGCATATATAGTAAAGCAATTGTAGAGGTTTTAATAGTTTTTTTTGACTGAGTGTCATATTGTGTCACTTTGGGAATGGCTGTGCAGTTTTCTGGCTCCATTCGGGAATTTCAATGCCAGAAATAACAGCTCATATTTCACTAGCCTTTACTGGAATCCCGACCCAAAGAAAATTGGCCATGTACAGTATATAGCTCCCCAATACTGAGGGAAAAAAATGTATCCGTGTACACGCTTGTGAGTGGAGTTTTAAACCTATTTTTCATTTGGAATAATACAGTCATAAAATAAAAACTGGCTTCAAGCCTGTGAGCCATGCCTCAAAATGTGTGATGCAAAAAAACAAAGCAAAAATGCTGCTCTTGACCCTTTTTTACATGTTATTTTACATTTTTTTCCAAGGTTCACTTATGACATTTTAAATTCAGAATAAGATTGTTAAATAAATGCATTCAATAGATTTGTGAAACTTGATAACTGAAATATGACGGAGAGTGCTTTCACACCTACACTTTTGTTTTGGAACCTGTTCGTTTGGCATATGTGAAACCACCAATCGCTCTCGGATCCACGCCAAATCAAACGCTCCGAGATCGCTTGAATGAGGTGGTCTCGGGTTGATTGAAATGAACTCTGGAGCGGATCGATTGCAGTGAGAAAGCAAACGATCCGAGCGCGGTTATATCACTCTGTTTTATGGATATGTAATGGGCATATGGCTGTATAAAGAGAGAATTATAAGTAGGGCGGGAAGTTTCGCGAGTCTCCGGATGCCCGCAAACGAGTGATAATCTCCCGGTAATCTTGCGTCTCCCTCCCGGTCCTCAAATAGGCTACGTTGCTCACCCTTCTCACCCCTCCCCAACGCATCTCTCCTTACTCTTTAGACACGTCGCGTGCACCTTGTCAAACCCCACCAAACCACAACCTCTCCTGACAGCTGAGCGGGACTCTGCAAAATAAACCCTGACACTCTGACCAATGTGAGAAGAGTTTACTCACACGTGACTTGTTTTAGCTCTTTTGGCCTGATTACAAACTTTGCAGTGTGAAAGCGAACCGCTCCAAGAGCAAAGAGCAACAATGTAACAGTTGTAATCTCTGTTTCGGAACAACTGAATCGATTCACAGGTGTGAAAGCACCCATACACTACCTGCAGGGCTGGAGCAAGCTGAACTGGTGCTCTAGGCAAACAACGATCATGCCGCCCTTAACCAGAAAGTAAAAATGAAAGTGACCGGTTTGCTTGGTAGTGTCGCGGACAAGGTCGCCTCTATGGACGCGTTGGCCCTGACTACCTGACAAAAGTCTTATTGTCAATCTCGATTGTAAGAGCAACAAATATTAACTTGACTTGTAGTTGTTTATTTGAAAAAGTAGCAGAAGATAGGTTTTTCCGATGAATCATCTGTTGAACTGCATCCCAATCATTACAAATACTCACAAAGACTTATTGGAACCTGCACGGCCCTAAGATTCCCACAGAAATTAGTCAAGTTTGGTGAAGGAAAAATCATGATTTGGGGTCACTTTCAGTATGAGGGTGTGCAACATCAATAGCCTGAGGTGTCAAGACATTTGTGCCGCCCATTACATTACATCTGGAGGTCCTGCAAGAATGCTTTCTTTGCCATTCAGACTATGCAGCCTCACTGATTCCATCCAAGACCAGCGATGAGATGATCCCAAGGTTTCCATAATCCTGGACCAGGCCGTATCCTGAGCAGATGCTGTTCTGGTCATGGAGGAGTGGAGAGCATGAGAGTGATTCCTGTGATGCTCCAGGGTCAGACAAGTCTTCGCTGAGGTCCAGCATTCTCCAGCCTCTGGCGCCTAGACCGCAGATCTGCACAAGACATTTGGCCATAGGAGAAATGGTCGTGCCCAACTGAGCCTGGTTTCTCTCAAGGTTTTTTAATTCTTCACTTTCGCCAATTCGTGAAGATTTTTCCTCGCCACTGTTGCCACTGGCTTGCATGGTTTGGGATCTGTAGAGTTGCGCATCGATGGATTTGTTCTTCAGTGTTTGGACTCTTAGTAGTGATTATTAACCACACTGAACTGAGCTAAACTAAACTGAACTTAAACACTGAAAACTGAACTACACTGTTTAAATTTACTATGATCTTCTATGTTAAGCTGCTTTGACAATTTACATTAGCTGCTTTTCCACTATCGTGCCAAACCGTTCTAAGAACACTTCGGTACGGTTAAGGTTGTTTCTCCACTGAGCCTGGAACGGCGCGGCACGATTACAAACCGTTCTCGGCCTGGAATTCTCTGCACGGTTAGACAACCGTGCTGAACTGTGCTGACAGATTCTGTGTGTTGACGTCGCGACTCGGTTGCTAAGCTACCACAGCTGGCTCAGCAGAAGCGCGCTAGTCATCAGACATCCTCAATAAACTACAGTAACGTTACATTTAATATAAAATAATGATCCAGGTCTAAACGATACAGTTTGAAAAGGGTTTTAATACCATAGAGCAGTCTCTGGCAGAGAAGTGAATAACTCATCACATTGTTACGAAGATATTTTATTCAATAAAGTTATTATTTTATTGACTTGAATACAGACCTACTTCGCCTGCGTGAATGTGAGTTTATTGCACGCAGCGCTGTATTTCACAGCACAAAACTCGCTCCTATCCGGTAGAGACATGCCAGTGACTTGCGCTGCTGACTTTTTTTTCCTGCTGCGCATCGAATAAAGTGAATAAAGTCACGCTTTGCATCGTCGATGTCCAAATTTCACAACAACATCACTATATCCATGGAACACGAACTTGCAGACTCTTTTAACAACGAGGAAATAATTGCACTTTTTAATTCAAAGCCAGGACAGCTTGTTAATACCGGCGAGACCACCTGAAGGACGGCGTGTTCGTGTTGTAATGTCGGCCGTCCAAAAGACTTTGCTTGAAAGCTTTACGGAGCGGCACTGTAACTGTCCAAGGTACTGTTGTATGATTTATATTATAGCATATGCACTAATAAACAAGTCAAAAGAATGAATGAATTAAATAAATATGGATTCTTAAATGTCAGTATTGCTTTTACTCAAAAAATATCAATACGTTTTGACAAATGTTTTATAAAAATAAAATAAGCAATTTTCATCATTTCAGCTATATGCAATTATATGATTCAGTTATACATAAGTTATATGACATTTATGAGGCATGTAACATGTTTCTGTGTTTTTGTTTTTTTGTTCTTGATGATCTTTAATATAGCTACGCAAATATTTTCTAAAACGTCTAGCAATAATTCGCCTACAGCTTAATTATGAACACAAAAATAATTATGATAATAAAAATAAAATGATCAAAATAAAAAGATAATAGAGCAGCATTTTGCTAAATATAATAGTGCTTAATATGCTTTAAATCCTGCAATATATGTGTTGTTTCATATTCGTTTTTTTTTTTACTAGCTGCATTCGTTATTTAATGTTTGAATAGTAAAACAAATAACAGCCATCGCTTAATTGGTTTCATTTTACCATCAAAATGTAGTATATTTTAAATCATTATCAACTTTTGATATAAAAACGCAGTGTAATTTAATTAATTGTTAAAAATGAAATAATTTATGTACTGTGTTTTTATTAGTGAAAGTGCCCGCTCACTTTTGACAAGGCCTGTCCAAAATGATATTTCTGCCACTATAATACAAATGCACTATTATTGTTGTCTTATCATTGTTTATTTTTCTGTTATGTTCAGAGATTTTAAATATTATTTATTTCCCCTCCAATTATTTTCAATCGTCACGTTACTTTTTGGTAATTTTCCCTCCAAATAAAATTTAGCCAGAGCTGCGCAACATATAAATAAATAAGGGTGCACATGTACCTATATTTAGCACCCCTATTTGATAGAGCGGCATAACAGTGTTTAGTCACATGGTTGCTTTTGCTTTTATGAAAAAAAAATAAATATATAGTTTTGGCTCTTATTTAACTTTAATTGAACAAAGGGAGCCGTTTACATTGCATTACCAAGGCAACTACTGATGCGTTTTGTGTAATGTTTTAAAGAGCTTTGTCGCAGCACGACAGTGGAAAATGAAACCGTATCCGTGCTGTCTGGCCCGGTTTGGCACGGAATGGAACAGTTCTGTTTAAAGAACGATTCAGCACGATAGTGGAAAAGCGGCTATTGTAAAAGCGCTATACAAATAAAGTTGAATTTAATTTAATTTATTAATAAGTTATTTGATGCAGTCCTTCAAACTCCTGGGAGTCATACACAATATTAATTCTTTTTCCTCTGTATCATGACTTATTCTATACTGGTCATTATTTCTGTTTAGTGACACAATTTTCGTCTAAGCAAAGTCAGTACTTGCTGTCCTAATAACATCATGATCAAGACATGATCATATTTTATTTTGGTAAAATAAGCTAAATCTAGAGGCCTTTGTCTTTCATATAAGCCAGTTCTGATGCCAAATGATCAAGTAGAAGTCAAGTTATTATTTGTTGTTCCTAAAACTTGGCAAAATGACAAGACTTTTGTCAGGTAGTGTATATGCGATAACACTTTTTAACCAAAGGTAAAAAACAGTGCTAGATTTTTTTTTAATGTTGTTATAATGAGTGTATGTTTGTGGTCATTATAAAATTATGGCCAGAAAAAATTTGCAGGAAGCCACGATATAGCACATTTCTGACAATATATATAAATAAATCTAATATAAATTATATATATATATATATATATATATATATATATATATATATATATATATATATATATATATATATACATATATATTGGTGAAGGGCCCTATGAAATCAGTTTTTATTAAATTTTTTTCAAAATTATTTTTTTTCCATAAAATATTTTACTTTTTTTTTTTGTTCATTTTCTAATTCTTATGAACTACACTTGAACTCCATTTAATAGGGTTTCTAAAATGTACATTTTGTTCTTTTTTATATTTCATATATAGAAATATAAGTCTATTCATTTTCTTGTCGGCTTAGTCCCTTTATTTTTCCGGGGTCACCACAGCGGAATGAACCACCAACTTATCCAGCAAGTTTTTACGCAGCGGATGCCCTTTCAGCTGCAACCCATCTCTGGGAAACATCCACACACACATTCACACACACACTCATACACTACGGACAATTTAGCCTACCCAATTCACCTGTACCGCATCCGGAGCACCCGGATGAAACCCATGCGAAGGCAGGGAGAACATGTAAACTCCACACAGAAACACCAACTGAGCCGAGGTTCGAACCAGCAACCTTCTTGCTGTGAGGCGACAGCACTACCTACTGTGCCACTGCCTCGCCCGAAATATAAGTCTAATTATATTTAATTCCAAAATATAAATTTGAATTCCTTGATTCTGTCCATGTTTTCCACATCGCAAAAAATCCCAGAGCCCAACTAGTGCTCTGATTTTGACTCTACACACATACCTCTATAAATGCTGTGCGCAGGTTGAGGTCTCTAACCCAGCTGCCAAGAGGTTTGAGAGATGGATAAGCAGCATTAGACCAGTGATCAGGAACCTGGTTATTCAGGAAACTGTTATAAATCTTCTCCATTTCTTCTGACATCACCACCAGACCTGCTATCGCCTTCTGCAGAGTACATAGTGAAGTCTGCAGAGAAATACAAACACAATCAACAACACACAGATTAGTACGATTAATATTTCATTCATTCCTGTTTAAATAGCTACTGTAATCAATCTATCATTGCTTACTTTGAGCACACGCAGCAGGAAGTTAAAGCGGTCTACTTCCTGTCCAAGCACAGTGGTGAGAGAGTTAACTCTACCTTTGGGGTCTTGCAAGAACAGACTCTCCACTGCTGCATCCATATCTAGTTTATCTGCTCAGATGCATGTCATACACACACACACACACAGACACGCGCGCGCACACACACACACACACACACACACACACACACACACACACACACACACACACACACACACACACACACACAGGTCGAAATCTCATTATAAGACCAGTGGACTGACTCTCGACTTGTCCAGGGAACTGCAGGGGTTTAAAACTGACCAGGAATCTTTGCTAAGATGGAATCAACCAGTTCGTGGACCACCTCATCGTTGCTCTTCCCTCCACCTGCTGCTGAAGAACGAGGCTGGACTTCCAGAATAGTGTTGATCACAGTCATTGTCTCCTGTCTCTGTTTTCAAAAATGGAAAGAAGATCTATGATTGGCAGTGGCGGTTCTAGTTTAAATGCCACCCTGGTCGAAACCACCCCAAACATACCCCCTCTCCATCCACCAAGAAATAAAGACACTAGGTGGTTGACTTTATATATATTTTAAATATTTAAATATATATTTTAAATATGTATATTTAAAATAATTATAGACACACACATACATAGCGCAGACACACACACACACACACACACACACATAGACACACACACAGACAGTGAGAGAGACACGCGGCTGTGCTGATGAAGTAAATCTAAAGTGAATCGCTGTACTTCATTCCACACATGCACTGTTTTAAAACATGTAAAACTTGTAAAACTCACTCTTGATCACGTTTGATGATGGTTGATGATCCTAGCAAACTGAACAGACCCTTTTTTCCGGTTGCTTTGCGCTCGTCCTGTCTTGTTGATATGATTATATGCGTTACTACAGAGACATGTTAATGCGCGCAGCTGTCAATCAATATTGGTGGGCAGGGGGACCGCACTCCTACGTCAAGTTGCGGTCGATCTGAAAACCGCTCCAATTGGTCCACCGTTTTTATTTTGTGAAATTTGAAAAAAAAGGACTGGGTGTGTTTATTTCACCCCAATATGATAGTACACTATACTTACACACATATCTGTCCAAACAGCTTTAAAAGTAGATTTTTCACCATAGGTGCCCTTTAAAGTATCATCATCATCATATAAATTTTAGTTTTGTTGACTAGCATGTCGACGCATATCGGAGTGCATGTACAGTAAATAACCGGGATCATGAGCAGTGCATGTGATGCACACGAGAATAAATTTCTCTGCAAATGCGTAAATTTGTTTTCACCAGCGTTGTTTCGGTTGCACCGTTGCACATACAGTATAGAATAACAAACTTGCGTATGCAAAAGATTCCAAATGCATAATATATATTTATTTTCTTTTAGCACCATTTCCCCAAGCTGCCCCCAGCAAGATGCCGCCCTGGGCGATCGGCCATACTGCCCATGTCCAAATTGATGATTGGTATTATACAAGCTTCAGGTGCTTAAAGGAACAGTCTACTTTTTTGGATAATAGGCTCAAAACTCCCCTAGAATTAAACATTTGAGTTTTTCCATTTTTAATCCATTCAGCCAGTCCAGGTTGGGCAGGAGCACTTTTATCTTAGCTCAGCATAGATCATTGAATTAGATTAGACTATTTGCGTCTCACTCAAAAATGACTAAAAAGCTTCTATAATTTTCTTACTTAAAGCTTGAATTTTCTTTTCTTACATTTTGTACTAGGCGGTATGGCTTGGAACTATATTCTCATTCTGGCATAATAATCAAGGAACTTTATTGTCTTATGGCTGCAGCAGGCACAATGATATTACACAGTGCCAGAAAATCAGCTAAATTCTATCACCATAACCAATGTGACCACCTGCTTGCACAGGGAGCTCGCGGTGCAACCAGAGAGACATCTGAGAGAGATGGGTTCCACCACGACTCCATCATAAATGCACCAAATATAGCATGATTTGATGTATTTAATCAACCTTTTTCTATTCTGATAATCACAATTAGTAATAGTCATATTTTCATCAACAAAAAGTGGAGTGTTCCTTTAAAGATGTACACAGAGACAGTTACTATCTTCTGTTGTAGCACAATCATTTTTAACTCTGTATAAGAATGTCTGAATGACGACTGGGGCAATAAGCTTAAAAAAAAATGGTTCTTGTGCCCCAAGCACAGATCTACCATACTTGAGGAAATTTATGTGCGTTGATCAATGTTTTTACATTAATAAAATAAATGATGTACTGTACTATATGAACATTTTCAGAAGACTCAGACAAACCAATAAATGAATATAGATTACTTAAAACATGTATTTTTGTTGTTTTGGTGAGTGAAAGTCTAGGCTATGTTGACTTGATGGAAGAAAATGATATGAGAAAGCTAGAAACATCTTCATTTGTTTAACAATAATGATCAGAAGTCTTACAAGATTGTAAATGACAGTTTTAACAGTGATAGGTGATACGAGGAGATTGTAGTTTATGAAAATATGTGTTGAGTGAAGGAGAACCCTAATTGACAGTTTAAATAAAAAAAACTCCAGGTTGCAGTTCCAGTTTGCATACTTGTGCACTACTCTATGTTGTTTTCTCTTTTTAATGCCATGTCATGTTCACCCAAGTTGCTTCAAAACATTCATAAAGTAATCACTTAGGCTGCATTTACACTGCAGATCTTGATGGTCAATTACGATTTTGTGACTGTATCCGATTTTTTTTTTTTCTGACCTGCTTACATCGTCTTTTAAAAGTGACTCATATCTGATTGTCAGCATTTACACAGCACACGGCAAAGACGCAATGACTGGGAAAAAAAAAAAAAAAAAAGAGCGGGCGATGACTGAAAGCTGCTTGTTTCTCCTTTTCTGTATTTAATCTGTTCTCTGGCTTTAATTTATTGACAAATAGTTGTTTTACTATAGTTTATGAAAGAAAAGTTCTCATTTGGCCATCTTCTTTTAATCTTGGACATTTCAAAGCAGTAGGCATCTTAATGTAATGTCCAGGCTGTGATTTATGCACATGATGTATGCAACAGTTTTATATTAGTTTATGGTTACGTGGCGGATGTTACACTCTCGCGCTCTCTCTCGTTTAACATGCTTAAATACTTGTGCTATGTAAAAATATAAAAGCATATTTGGTCCTCGTGTGGGGCGAAGCAGTGGCGCAGTAGGTAGTGCAGTCGCCTCACAGCAAGAAGGTTACTGAGTCGCTGGGTCACACCTTGGCTCAGTTGGCATTTTTGTAAGGAGTTTGTATGTTCTCACTGCGTTCGCGTGGGTTTTCTCCGGGTGCTCCGGTTTCCCCCACAGTCCAAAGACATGCTGCAGGTGAATTGGGTAGGATAAATTGTCCGTAGTGTATGAGTGTATGAGGGTGACAGGCCGGCCGGAATGTGTAAAAAAAAGTCGTTATCATATGGACAAGTCTAAATGGAGGACTTGTTCCAAAGAGCAGACCCGGCAACCATACGGGACTAAGGCCAAAGAAGAAGAAGACTTAGTCCTCGTGTATGAGATTTAAGGTTTGGGACTCTGCTGAAGTCTGTTCTGAAATGAAAGCGTCAGACTTGATGTCATTCGCTATGGTTTTTAATGATGTGCGACTGCCTACTACTGCCGACTACCTGCTTATACTGCTGACACGAGGGCACAGATCTGAATTATATTCGATAAATTTTCACTGAAACTGATTTGAGTAAATCAGAATTTGTGATTTTTTCCTGCTTACACTTACACGGGCCATATCTGATCTGTGCCATATGGGAGAAAAAAATCGGAATTAAGTCACTTGAACAGTGCAGTGTAAATGTGGCCTTAGTCAGTCAGTCAGTCAATCAATCTTAAAATGTTGACATGAACAAACTTCATTGGTTCTTGCACACCATGCAACCATGCTGGAGCTTCTATGACCAAATGTGAATGCAATGTAAACATTTTTCACTGACCAAGGTTGCTGATCAATGTAAATGAATTCAGTTCATGATATAAAGTGATCCGTGTGTCTGTTTAGAATGTTTGGATTAAATTGCTCAGTTTATACAAATGTATTTTCAATATGAAGGTTTTGTGTAAACAGACTGCCAATGGAGTGAAAAAAAAACATTTTATTTTTGATTAAAATCCCTTAATTAAAAAATGCTCTGATTATTACATTTCTTATGTGTTTGGAAAAAAATGTTGTAGTGACTAAATGATGAAAGGATTTTAATTTTGGGGTGAACTAAAGCTTTACTTAATGACAAATGTGTAATAACACTTTAACCATGAAGCAGAAGATGAGACACAATCAGACTCTGATACTGGGTGACAAAATAACATTATAAAACTCATACACTAGATGAGTGCATGTATAGAGCAAATCTGTCGATCTGTATGCAGTTAGAAAAAGTGAAACTTACCTGGAAGGCCAGGTTAGCATTTTCGTGCATTCCGAAGACCTCTGGATCATCAATCAGAGGCAGATCCTCAATATATTGTTTGTACTCTGTCAAGCTGTCCGAATCAGGAGCAAAGTAGATCCCTGTATAAAAGGAAAGAGCACCTTCTTATTTCAAGGTGAAGTGGGTAATGACCTAGGGGCAGTAAAATGAAGTGTGTAATGAAGTGTAGTGACATTAAACAAAATCAATCAGGCATGTGATCAGCCAAGGACAAAAAAGAAGGATAACCAGCTGACATGTCTGATAACCCCCCTCCAGATACAAATAAACAGAAAAAGTCAGGAAATTTCACACAGTTTTTACATCTAAACTCTTTATATACAGTCTATATACAGTGCAGTATATGAAAATTGTAAATCATAAAACTAAAACTAATTAACTAATTTACAACACTGACACTTGACCACACTATTTTCACACAATTTCAAATGTTTTGTATTTTAATAGTAATCTTTAATAGTTTAAAGTAACTTTTAAACAAATAGGTTTGTACAACTGTGCAAAAGTACCTTAAAATGATGTTAAATTTAATCACAAATTGCAGCATGTCTTTACTTTACATCAATCTCAGGAGACTTTGCGCCACTGACTCGTGCAGTGCTGTTGTTTCAGCAACAGCCCATGTGTAAGGAAAGTATTTGAAAACACAGGGTTTTGCAGTTTAGTTTAACTCTTTACTCCGTGATAAATAAACTACTATTTAGTCAGTCGTTTTAAATGTTTCATGTCATTAAATCATTCAACTTAATTGCCACTTCACAATTTCAGTTTATAGTAGGCTTGCTGCTGTAATTAAGGTTACATGGTGCTCGACTACAAAACAAAGTTGCTTTATGTGTTTTTTTGACACTTCTAAAACATAAAAATATCAAAATATGTTTGCAGACATTTAAGAAACATGCCAAGTGAACATTCTTGTTTATCTGAAAAACAATGCTAAAGTCAGTTATTCCTTCTTTGAAAATGTGTTTTCTGTGCCGGGAAGTTGTCTTTGTTTTGGTTGTTTTAACCCGCTTAATGCGAGTTCAGCCAATTGTATTTCACCATCCAGGGTTGCCTTGATGCAAAACAGTGTATTTCATTCATTTATTTAGGATGCTCTCAAAGCATGCGTCCATGACTGAAATGCAACCTCGGGTGGACAGTAGCAGACTCCGAAATGAGATGAAGATTCAGTTACACATGAGCTTATTAATTAGCAAATAATATTGATATTACCAGCGTAAACATTATGTGAGCAGGTTACATTGCAACCCCGTGTCCTAACAACACGCTACGAGACAAGATTTGAGGTGATAAGCAATTGGGCGGTTAGCACCAGACGAAACATGATAGAAATTTAAATAAAGCCATTCAGAAGCAGAATATGCACTCACAAAATGGCAAGGTTTTAATCTAATTAATACATATTAAACCTCTTTAACATTAGTAAATGTGCATGCTAAATCACTGATATGTGTTTTATTTTTGAAGTTTATTTATCAGTTCTGAAGCTCAATTTCAAACTGTTTATTTTATTTTTTAGATCTGAGGTGAACTATCTGCAGCTGCTTTCAGTAGTATGGCAATAAATGTCATGTAAAATGGCATTCAAGCTCACATTTAAACACTGAATAAAGCACATGAGGTGTACCCGAGGTGATAACAGATTATCCTGTTGTTCAGCGGTAAGAAATAGAAGCCGTTTCTAATATATCAACTCAAGGTGTTGGTTTGAACAAAAACTCTTTTTATATGGAAAATATTCCTTTTATCGTGTATTGTTGCTTTAGAACAGGGGTCACCAATCTCTGTCCTGTCCCTCCAGGGTTTAGCTCCAACTAGCCTCAACACACCTGACTGAGTGTTTCAAGTATACCTAGTAAGACATTGATTAGCTTGTTCAGGTGTGTTCGATTAGGGTTGGAGCTAAAATCTGCAGGACACCGGCCCTCCAGGAACAAGTTTGGTGACCCCTTGGTGACCCCAAGTTTTAGGCTCCATTGTCAGAGTCGCTCCTCAATCTTGCAACTTGTGCTTGCGATCGTTTTGATCCAGGAATGTAATACCTAGTTCAACCACTGGGTGTCAAACTTACATACTGCACCTATAAAGAAAGTGAACTTCAGTGGATCACATGGAATGTTTTGACAAAGTTTTTGGTTCCTTATATGGTCTTTAAATGTCTCCTGATGTTTGCTGTATGCGCAAGATGAGAAAGCTCTTGGATTTCATCTAAAAGATCTTAATTTGTGTTCCAAACAAAGAACAAGGGTCTCAGGAGATTGGATCAAGATGAGAGTGAGTAATTAATAACAAAAAAGAGTAAATGAGCCATGTTAGGGAATAATAAAATATACTTCCTATCTGCATGTGCTTGCCAGTCATGTACATTTATTAACTTTATCATGTAGGATGCATTATTTGAACAGCCCATTACCCTGCATATTGATAGCTGTTCCACTATAAAGTGCACATTATAGAACTACTTTTACAATTTCATTATATTATATGCACAGTGCATCCAACAGTTAAGAAAATAGGAAAATCAGTAATGGCTGGGAGGTACAATCAATCCCTGGTGTTATGCTGTGCATTCCCAAACACAATGTATGCGGAAGAAGTCTGGTTGTATGACAATCGTCACAGCAACACCCCCTATCCCAAATAACAGGGTCAAAAAACGTGTAAAAAAGTTAAATCTGTATTTAAATGGAAATGTCACATCGCTGATCATTTTAAAGTTGTCTTTAGGCTAGTTCACACCAACACCAACAAACAGGTCTGTCTGAGTTTGTTGGATCACAGTGTTACCCCTGTCAGTATATGTTTCCATTGGTCAGAGTTTGTTTTCACCTGACTGAACATGTTCAATTGGCATTTGTTGGGTCGTGGAACATCTGAGCAGTGACTTCCAGCAAACGTAATCTGAGCAGGGGCCGCTTTTAGATGTAAAACATAAAGGAGAGATCGCACCAATGCTCTCTGAAAAGATTCACTCTCACACACTCTCATACTAGCTTTAATAGTGTTCTTTGAAAGTGTTTTGGACAATGTGTGATAATACATTCATTCATTCATTCATTTTCTTTTCAGCTTACAGCGGAATGAACCGCCGACTTATCCAGAATATGTTTTATGCAGTGGATGCCCTTCCAGCTGGAACCCAACACTGAAAAACCCATGCACTTTTATTCACACACATACACTACAAACAATTTAGCTTACCCAATTCACCTACAGCGCATGTCTATGGACTGTGGGGGAACCGGAGCATCCAGAGGAAACCCACTCGAACACAGGGAGAACATGCAAACTCTACACAGAAATGCCAACTGACTCAGCCGAGGCTCAAACCAAATGCAAAATAAAGAAAGCATAAAGACTGAGTCTTCTTAAATTTGTGAACCATCACAAAAATTATTATTTATGTTTGATGCGGTTATTACTTTGGTTTTATTATTGTGCTATTTAAGTGAAACATATTCATGTAGGCCTCATAATTGTGTTCATTTTCTTCTCTCACAGACATGCTGCAAGTAAATTATGCTCTGTTGTTTAAACTATGCTGCTATTTGCATGTTAAATTAAACCTCATCAAATAAGTGGTATTTTCAATAGGTCAAAGACAGTTGTAGATATTAATTTAAATCAATTTAAATATAGATTTGTTCATATTTGCCAGTTCAAGCACAGAGGTCATGTTTTAGTGTTTTCCACAAACACTTCAATATAAAACTATCAATCATTCATCTGCCTAGTGTGCTAATGAATGCACTTGCAGTCTCTGTTCTCTGCATTAATAAATGTATAATCTGTTCCAGCCAACTCTTCCTGTAAGTCTGTGATTAGAAATGAAAATGTATAGTGAAAAGGAAAGTTATTTAAAGTCTTATATTCTGTAAATAACTAAAAAGGCAGAAAGATACATTAATGATGGCTGGATTTTGGCTTATTTTAAGTAAAAAAATATCAATAAATAAAATAAATGATAAAAAAAAATAATATTTAAGTCGTTATATGTATATAATATATGTACTAAAAATATTCTTAGAGAGTTTGGTCAATATCGAGATGATAGCATGACACAGTTGCTGCAGATTTGTTGACCACATCTGTGATACGAATTTTCCATTCCACCACATCATACAAGGTGTTTTATTGAATTGAGATCTAGTGACTGTGGAGGCCATTTGAGTACAGTGAACTCATTGTCATGTTCAAGAAACCAGTCTAAGATCATTCACGCTTTATAATATGGTGCGTTATCCTGCTGGAAGCAACCATCAGAAGATGGGTACACTGTGGTCATAAAGGGATGGACATGGTCAGCAACAATTGGTACTAATAAGCTCAAAGTGTGCCATGAAAATATCCCCCACAACATTACACCACCACCGCAAGCCTGAACCATTGATACAAGGGAGGATGGATCCACGCTTTCATGTTGCTGATGCCAAATTCTGACCCTAGCACCTGAATGTCCCAGCAGAAATCAAGAGTCATCAGACCAGGCGACATTTTTCCAATCTTCTATTGTGCAATTTTTGTGAGCCTGTGTAAATTGTAAACTCAGTCTCTTGTTCTTAGCTGACAGGAGTGGCATTCAGTGTGGTCTTCTGCTGCTGTAGCCCATCTGCCTCAAGGTTCGATGTGTTGTGCATTCAGAGAACCTGTTTTGCCTACCTTGGTTGTAACTTTCTATCAGCTGGAACCAGTCTGGCCATTCTACTCTGACCTTTGGCATAAACAAACACAGAACTGCCGCTCACTGAACATTTTCTCTTTTTTTCGAACCATTCTCTATAAAGCCTAGAGATTGTTGTGTATGAATATCTTAGTACATCAGCAGTTTCTGAAATACTCAGACCAGCCCTGTGAGGCACCAACAACCATGCCTTGTTCAGTCACTTAAATCACCTTTCTTCCACATTCTAATGCTCGGTTTGAACTGCAGCAGATTGTCTTGACCATGTCTACATGCCTAAATGCACTCAGTTGCTGCCATGTGATTGGCTGATTAGAAATTTGCATTAATGAGCAGTTGGACAGGTGTACCTAATGAAGTGTATTATTGCATATTAAGACCACCTGGACAAGGTAAAAACAGTTAGGGTACCCCCTCCCTTATTTAAAAAAAGTATTTCACTAAAAGTATATAATTTTTTCCATCATTGTAGTGTACATATACACAAAAAAGAGATTTTCAAATGTGTTATGATATTCAGAGAGCACTTAATATCAGCAATTACTCAAAAAAACTACCTGGCTATTTAAAAGTATCTGAAAAAATTAGTTTTAACAAAGACATTTAAGGAATTACATGTACAGTACTGTATGTTCTGTACTGTAATACTGTATGAATTATCTGCACAGTACAATCAGAACAGCAGAAGTATTTCCCCATTGTAAAAATGCACACTCACTCCATCTATAATTTACACGTCTCTTTATACTCTACAGAACTGTACATAACACAAGTATGTACTGTATGTGTGTACCTGATTTAGAGTAGGTATAGCCTTCCTCTAATGTGGCCAGAGAGAAGAAACTCTTGAGTATGGTGCGCAAGCATCGCTGATCCCAGGCATCTGTCACCCTGCCTCCATACGTAATCTCACCTACAGAGACGATAAAAAACATTCACATAAACATTTCTGCTCAATGCATGACTGACTGACACCTTGCCAAAAATTAATGAGACAATTTGACATTCTGTGAAGCTTCCTTAATGAGTCTTTCCCAAAGCCTTTCATTTACTGGAACATTCCCTGCACAAACCAGATGCTGCAAATTTAATAACATTTATTGTCACCAGCTGATGGTCTGTGAAATGAAGTCTACTTAGAGCATTGCATTCATTCATAACATTTAAAAACATTCTGGAAATTCTAATGAAATGGAAAGTTCAATAATGTTACATAAACAGTTTCATTCAATCTATTTATACTCATACACTGAAATGTATGCAAGAACAATGGACACAATAATAATAGAGGTAAATATCAACGAGTGATGCTATACTTCTACAATAAACACTCGAATACTGTACCTGTGATGTATGTAAGAGCATCCCAAGGTATATGTCCTGTCTGGCAGTAGAGGTTTAGGTTGAGCAGAGCACACTCTCTGTCGCTGTCATTGAATTCGTAACGGATGTTCCAGCCCAGAGGACCAAACTTCTTCCGCTCCTGTACATACATCAATGCAATCAGAAATAAAAGTGAAGGATTTAGAAGCAGTGATAATTATAAAGCTGCCCTTGAACCTCTGCATATTTCAAAATATTTGCATTAGACTGAGTTAAAGTATTTCTTTTCAAATAAATGAAAGATCTTGAGAAGCTGAGAGTAATGACTGCTAACAATTTGCACTTGCAATCATGGGAATGAAAACAATTATTAAAAACTGAAATAGATATACTGTATACTGTATTGCATTTTTAAGGTATCTACATTTGAAGTCAAATATTTGCATATAGCTTGCAGTACATGCTAAATTATTTTACCAAAATAAGACAAGCTATTTTTATTATTTAGTACTGACTGGAACAAGACATTTTACATAACAAAAACAGTTATTTACAGTGCTCAGAATAATTGAGTACACCCCATTTTGAAAATGAATAATTTTTCCATTTCTCAGTGAATATAGACAATGTATTTTGGTGCATTTAAACAAAACAGATTTATTAAACTCCTTGAGTCATTTCATTGCTTTTACACATAACTAATGTTTCAGATTTATATACATTGCATACATTACATTACATACAATTTTTTTGTTTGTATTGTTTGTGTTTTTACCAAAATCTGGTTCAATTCCATGTCATCAGCTCCTTTAGATGTATTATTCTTAGAAAAAAAGGCATGACATGTTCAATACTTATTTTCCAAGCTGTATGTGTTAAATAGTGCCACAATAAACATCTTTCATTTAAAAAAAATGGTACAATGCTGTACCAAAAAAGGTACAAACCCTTGTCACTGAGGCAGTCCCTTCTTAGTGAACAGAATTGTACCTTAAGACAAACAAACAAATTTGTACAATACAGTTTGTACCTTTAAGAACATGATTTGTACCTAGGGAAAGCAAAATGTACCTTTGGTTTTTAAAACCTGCAGATACAATATTGTACCTTCACTAAAAGGTACAAATCTGAACCATGAAGATACCATTACAATGATGAGACACTTTGTACCTTAACGGTGTCTAATGTGTCCCTTTAAGAACTATTTAAAGGCATTTTGTCAATTTTCATTCATTCATTCATTCATTCATTCATTCATTCATTCATTCATTCATTTTCTTGTCGGCTTAGTCCCTTTATTAATCTGGGATCGCCACAGCGGAATGAACCGCCAACTTATCCAGCAAGGTTTTACGCAGCAGATGCCCTTCCAGCCGCAACCCATTTCTGGGAAACATCCACACACACACACACACACACACATTCACACACACACTCATACACTACGGACAATTTAGCCTACCCAATTCACCTGTACCACATGTCTTTGGACTGTGGGGGAAACCGGAGCACCCGGAGGAAACCCAAGCGAAGGCAGGGAGAACATGCAAACTCCACACATTAATGCCAACTGAGCCAAGGTTTGAACCAGCAACCCAGCGACCTTCTTGCTGTGAGGCGACAGCACTACCTACTGCGCCACTGCCTCGCAGTAAATAAATTTTGTCAATTTATTTTCAGTAATTATAAAACATCAAATAAATTTTTAAACAATGTTTTTTTTTTTGTTTGTTTGTTTTTTTCCCAGAGATGGGTTGCAGCTGGAAGGGCATCTGCTGCGTAAAACGTGTGCTAGATAAGTTGACGGTTCATTCCGCTGTGGCGACCCCTGATTAATAAAGGGACTAAGCCGAAAAGAAAATGAATGAACTGTTGTTTTAAGTTTATTCTTGTGTAAATGCACCTTTTCCATTTACAATAAAGAATACTTTAACATCAATCAAAAGATCTATTTTTTGCTAAACATTTCACAACACTTTTCACAAAAATGGTACAGAAACACATTCTCGCATGTACAATTTAAAATATTTTTTCCTCCCATTTTCACACAATAGCTTTGTAAGTTTATTTAATTTTAAAATAAAAATAGAATTATGCAAAAGTATTGTAACGAGATATGCACATTTTTTGATTAGTTTTACAATACTACAATGTCTGCATAAACACTGAATATGTAGTACTTTTGCCAGCTCATGTGTGTTGTGGGGAAAGCAAATGCCTGTCACGCTGCAGACAAGGATATCTCTCTTTTCACAGTTTTATTCAAAGCAAAGTCACTAATCAAAGTTGGGAATCAAAGAGATGGTATTAATGCTGTAGCGAACTTCTTTAACAGCACAGTAAGTTTAAACATCTGATGTTATCGATCTCACATGTAGTTCGCTCGTAGGAACATCAGCAGGTGAGTATACAGACACAGAGTTCATCTACTGTAGTAGATAGCAGTTCTTCTGGTAAACACTACATAAGTGTAAGCATTCTTCTTAATCAATGTGAAGGATCAGAAAGCATGTAATAAACATTCATGGATGAGTATACAAGCACACAGTTCACCAGATAGCAGATCTTCTTAGTAAACACCAGATAAGAATATTCACTTCCCTTGATCAGTGTGAAGGACTCGAAGACACATAAGGAACATCCATGGAAAAAAAGGAGAAGACGAAGGAGTGAAGAAGAGGACAACCATCCGACTTCAATACCGGCCGATGACTGAGAGGAGAAGGTAGGTTTATATAGTTTCCTTTGGTGATGGGGAACAGGTGCAAGTAATTAAGATGCTGGTGAGAGTTCACGGGATTGGATAGAGGTGGTTTGTAAGGGAGAGCGATGATTTTGTGAGCAGGAACGAGCCGGGGATGTGACAACGCCAAAAGGTGCAGATATCAATATTGAAAATGCATTTATTAGAAAATGCTTACCAAATGTTTATTAAAAAATGCCTTAAATGTTTAGTTTACAATACCTATAGTTTTACTTTACCAGTTCATTTTGTTTTATAGAACATAATAATTAATGTTTATGAGTTTCTTTAAACACATGCTTTTTAATGATGATTCATGTTTTAATATGGAAATTATTGATGAAATCACTTTGCCTTTCCAGTAATATTTATTTTTATATATATTGTAATAAAGAAAGTGTTGTACAATACTTGAACTGGATGTACCTTTTACAGGTATTTTCTGTACCATATACGGTACAACTTTTACAAATGTTCAAAACTGTTCCTTAAAAAACATTATTTGTACCACCATGTACCTTTATCAAGTGTATACTATCAAGAAAAGTGGCTTGCAGTTTCTTACATAAAACCAATGACACATAAAAATGTATATTTTAAAAAGTAAACCAAATTTACCATATACATGTAGGTGACTCAAGAGCAAAGTTTCCATCCAGTCATTTTTATTTAATCATAAAAACTGCAACATTGCCTTATACCAGTGCTGCTCATATTCTATGAAAAACATAAGGCTTCCCAGCAGGCTTCTAAACTTTATAGTCTCCAGAGGCTTCAAACTGAATAGGAAAACCCATTTTTGGCTACACTTTGAAATTTCAACCCTTGAGCACCTGACCTGAATGATGGCGTGGAAGAAGCACACTCCAAAAATGATCTTTCTCCATTTCCTGCCAAGGATGTGTTCCTCAAAGAATGTGCTGCTGATCTCAGTGAAGGCGCGTCTCACATTGGCACGGAGACCCTTTGGGGGCTCGTTAGTAACCTGCCATCACATTAACAAAGGCTCATTAGTTCCCTGGCAACGCAAGCATATTAGCAACAACTGGAGCCAAAGACAAAATACAACTGCTAAAATTCATAAACTAAAGACTCTAAACACATATAGACATGACGCTCTGCTTCCACTATAACAAAACACTGTTGAGGATCTCAGTTCTCACTAGTATTGGTTCCAGAGCTTTGTTTAAACGTGGGGTTTAATTGATAGGGACGTGAGCACAGGGGTGTTGATGTATTAGGTAGAGAGTGAATAAAATATGAAAGCGCTCCTCCTTGTGAAGTGTTATCTTCTTCTTGCAGGAGTGAGTGACTCCCTTAGTGTGACTAAAATTTTAATTTGATATACATGCAGACATATCCTAGTGCTGGGAGGATGAATGACGTGTAAAGGTAAAAATATGTGCATGTCATTAGCATATGGATGCCACTGACGTGTGAAGCTTCGTTCTACATTGATGTATGTGTTCAATCTCCAACAGATAATAAATGGGTATTTGTATGCTTCCTTGAAAAGTCTGTCTTGCGCGTGAGCACCTGTGGCACTTCACGGCTTTTGGATTTTAAAAAATAAAATGTTTATGTATATATGTACTTGAGTAAGTGTGTGTCCTTGTGTTACCTTGACAGAGTTTTGTAACACAGTGACAGGAAAAACATTGGTAGGCATGGAGCTGAGGAACAGTCTGAAGTCCTCGTGGATAACGGTGTCTGTGAAGGTTGTATAAGAACAGGACAACAGAAAACAGGTCAACAAAAATAGCTTGATGATGGCTTCACATGTGCAACACACTCACTGTCTGTAAAAGAAGAGTAGAGCAGGTGCAAAACAGGTGAGATTTCTATAAACAGAACTATCACATTTTCACTGAACCATTCAAACAGACATGCAGACACAAATATAAACATGCAAAAACAGTTCTTTAGAAATCCAGTCATTCAGTTTATATGATTAGCTGGAAGATCATAACAGTCTGACAGTTTCGGATTTAGTCCAAGGTTCTGGGAAATCTGTTGTGTCCACAAATCAAGTCTGTCATATTATTTCCAATTTTTCATGTTTGCCAGTTTTCACTGACTAAATAAAACATTAATACAGATGGATCTGTCACAGATCTATCTTTATTTCATTCTATTTTTATTTTATTTGTTAGATGGGTCTCTTGTCCTCAATATTCAAAGTTTTTCTTATAATTTATTTTTTTCTTCTGAAGTAAGTCTTGTTAGGCTGGAATAAATATGTTTTAAGGTTTTTATAACTACATATGATAATTTATTTATCAAGTATTAGCAAATAGTTCATTCAGTATTTGTTAAGCATTAACTCTACATTAATAGACGTTAGTAAGCAGTTTACAAAATCCAACTACAAATGTTGTATTCTTATACCGACATATACTGTATAATGAGCTTAATTGTATTTTCATACTTTGTTAATGATTATTTTTTCATTACTTAATTACGTATTGCATTGTTTACAAACCAGTTATTTAAGAATAGTTGGTTGTTTTTTAAGATAATTCAGAATGAGTTAGTAAACGATTATTAAACTATTCAAATTAACATTTGTATATCTTTTTATTCAGGCATATACTAATTGTTAATTATGATGTTTATTAATACATCATTAACACAACTTCATCCAGTTTTGTGACCTAATTTCATGCTTTATAAATTTCTTATAAATGACTATTAAAATCTCAGTTATATTTCAAACAGAAACAAGGAAAATAAATGACTTTATTTAATGCTATTTGTTTGAAGATACACAAATGAAACTGTATCAAATAAAAAAAAAAAATTATTGTTGCAATCATATGTAAAATAAAATAACAGTGCAGTTTTAACATTGCTAAATAACTTTGAAGTATTGTATCCTGATGTATTGTTAAATTATTATATTTTTGTTGTTGTTGTTTTATCCAATTTTATTAAATTCTATTTTTTTCTAAATGTATTTTGACACTGCTGTAATTCTGCAGTGTTTAAAGTTGAACATACTTTTTTTTTTTTAAATAAAATTGCAAACATGTATTGTTCATTATATACAGAGCCTTTAATTGTCATTTTTAAGGGATTTACAAAGCATAAATAGTCCTAACTTCAGATTAGGTAACAAAACTGCATGAAATTGTAGTTCATTCCGCTGTGGTGACTCCTGATTAATAAAGGGACAAAGCCGAAAAGACAATGAACGAATGAATGAATATAGAACAAATTATTAGATTTAAAAATTTATTGAAAAATATTGTATATTACGCAGCACAGCTGTTTTGTTATTATTACAGCACAACTGTTTTACTCTTAACATTAATAGTAAATAAATACAATTAAATTCCCAGGAGCAGCAAATCAGCATATAAAAACATTCTAAAGGATCTTATCACACTAAAAACTGGACAAATGCTAAAAACCTGTTTTTTTTAGGAACTTGGTGCAAAAAACATAACCTCACTCATACACACAAACTAACCAGGTTCATTGAAGGATTTGATGAGCTCCTCCATTGCCAGCATCCAGGACACAGCAAGGTGACAGTTTTGCAGGAAGATCCAGATGCCATTCTTCAGAGCTTCCTTAATCATCCTCTCTGCTATAGGCCCCTGGCCCTGACCTAGAGATATTGATTTCACCCTGCAATACATGCAAATAATGTTAGTTAATGTTAATTAATGTACTTACAAACATGATCAAGCTATTAGTAAAACATTTGCTACAGTATTTATTCATCTTTGTTAGCGTTAGTTAGCAAGTAAGTTAAATAACATTAGTTCTTGTTAACTCACAGTGCATTAACTAATGTTAACAAGCACAACATTGGATTTTAATAATACATTAGTAAATGTTGAACTATGATTAATAAACATTTTACAAAATTATTAATACTTAGTTAAAGTTAGTACATACATTAACATTGAGTAATGAACCAGTATTCTAAAGTGTTACCAGGACATTAACTATTTTAGATACACCAATGTCTCAAAAGGATAGCTCACCCCAATATATATATATATGTGTATATATATATATATATATATATATATATATATATATATATATATATATATATATATTTATTTTATTATTATTATTTTTTTTAAATGGTTTTCTATTAGAAGTGAGTGTTCTGAATGCTGTTTATGTGCCCAGGCACCTGGCGTTCTAACCGTCTGCTGTGCATTGTGTTTTTGACGAAGCACACGGTGCACCTGAAGGTAAAAAAAGTCAACTCTGTGCAGAAAAAGCACCTGATGTCATCAAAGTCCCTTTCAAGGAAAGTCTGTTCACTTGGCCAGATTTGCAACACCCCAGGGCAGTTCATCCAAGACATTAAGATTCAATATATACGGATAATAAATAAATGAAGGAATCCTGAAATCTCTCTCACAATTAAATTACATATTTCAAATCAGCAACAAAATCTGAAGTGACCTGTCCTATTACTGTTGTTGCATAAAAAACAAATTACATTAAAAACATGCAATGTCCAGTTTGCTCCAGCTACTGCACACACACAAATGTTGACTCAACACTAATCTCCTTTATTGGTATTTCATCTCAGTTCCAATGGTAATCAAAGGATGTGTTTTTAAAAAACACTAGAAGAACAGAGAAAAAATACTCAGCAAAGACTGAAGGACGACATTTGAAAGACACAACATGTGATTGGATGTGCTGTGATGTTTTTTTTTCTCTCTAAATCAACACTGGCACATGGCTATGGCCAAATGATGTGGCTTGCCGTAACAAACAAACAAATTTGTACAAAGCCCTAACCCAGAGATATGTGTGGCTATAAACACTGGTAATTGTCTATTTTGACCAAAAGGACTTCATTTGCTGTGGTGGCCATACTGAGCAATGCAATTTACTAAATCATAATAATGCAAGTGAACCATCTTTGTATATCTACAGTCTTTGACGTCATGCACTCTAGCACCAAGAGCATTAATACAGTAGTTGGCTAGTAACATAAAAAAGCAAAGCACACTGCTTTTTACGAAAGTAAAAAAAAAAAAAAACAGTAAGGTTTGACTTGTGTTTTTAGAATTAAAAAGCGCATTCAGTGTGATTGGCCACTTAAATAGCCCTTAAATCACCACTCATTTGTTCCAAACCTTTCTAAATGCACTTTTTGTTAAACTCAAGAAATAGAAACAGAAACTAGTAGTAACTAAAATGCATAGTAGTGACAGAAAATATAAAAACGTACAGTAAGTCGTGGCTGCTAGAGGTGCAACAAAAGCTTCTCATGGTTTGGTTCTTTTTTCTGTTTTAGGGTCACAGTTTCGGTGAGGCTAGATACAGTTTAAGTCGGAATAATTGGGAGGATTTTTCCCCCCAATTTCTGTTTAACGGAGAGAAGATTTTCTCAATATGTTTCTAAACATAATGGTTTAAATAACTATTATCTTTGCCATGATGACAGTAAATAATATTTGATTAGATATTTTTCAAGACACTTCTATACAGCTTAACGTGACATTTAAAGGCTTAACTGGGTTAATAAGGTTAACTAGGCAGGTTAGGGTAATTGGGCAAGTCATTGTATTATGATGAAAAAAAGTAGCTTAAAGGGTCTAATCATTTTGACCTTAAAACCTGCTTTTATTCTAGCTGAAATTAAACAAATAAGACTTTCTCCAGCAAAAAAAATAAATAAATAAATACCAGGCATACTGTGAAAAGTGCACTGCTCTGTTAAACATCATAAAAAAATTCAAAGAAGGGCTAATAATTCAGACTTCAACTGTATATGTTCAGAAAAAAACCTGAATAATATAAATGAATATATCACTGCAATGTGTATATAACCTTCATGTATTAAACAAAATTAAACAAAGGTTAACCATTGAGCTATTTATTCCAGAGCAGTACTTATTGGACCATAGAGGTTGTACCAAACAATTCAATATTACATTAAGTATTGTGGCATCCCTAGTGGCTACCTGTTGAACATTCTCTAAAATATCTTCTTTTGTGTTTTTTATATAAGAAGAAATGAACTCAATTTATTTGCGTCTCAGACTAAGGGTTTTCTTATTATTTAAATGAGCAATTCATGGGCAGAATAAGCTACAAAGTAGACCATGTTGATATTTGAAGTATGGGTATCCAAATCTAGTACAAGTCCTTGACAGTAGGTGAACCTTTCTAAAATGTGTTTCTTGTGGAATATGGCTAATAAATCAGCTGCTCTCATAGTTGGCAAGGAGAAGTGACCGATAGTGGCATCCAGTCTCAGGTTTACAATTTATAGCAAGACTGAAAGTATTGGGAGGACAGGAAATTGGCAGCAGTGTGAGCTAGAAACAGTGTCTTGAATTTAATTCTATCGTATTCTGGCAGCCGGTAAAATGATCTGAGAAGAGGCGTGATGTGAAAACATTACAGGGAGTTAAAAAGCATTTGAGAGAGAAAATTTAGGACCCGCTCTAGGAATATGGCAGATGCAAAGCAGTTGCTGGTTGGCAAACAAAAATGGAATTTAGGAAGCCATCAAATCAGCAAAATCTAGATGAAGATCTGAGTAAAGTAGTGGTCAAGTAAGGCCACTGCTATCATAATGCAGTCCCAAAAGAAGTGTGTGTCACCCAGGCTGACACTGAAAGATGATACACACCAGGAGGCAATGACCTCTAAATGAGACAGAGAGAGATTTGCCGAAGGATGTCATGGCTGAGAGGAAGAGGAACTCGTCACAATTAAAGCTGAGGTGATCACATTTGATATGTCAACAAGGCACACACACATAGAAGAGGAATGATGTGTACTACTAAATGTCATCAGCATAGAAGTGAAAAAGAATTGCAAAAAAAGGAGAATAGAGGTACAAGCATAGACAGGGCCAGAGTGGGACTCCTTTTCAGACCTGGAGTTTCAAGCCTTAGACCGGCCCACCTCAGTTCACGAATGTCTTTATTAAAATAAGGTCATTTCCAATTCAGTTTCTAATAACACTACCGCGTCTTTTTCAAGTAATCAGCTGCTTTAGAACTTCAAATGTTCAAAAACCCTAACAGTATTATATGTCTTAACAATAAAAATGAAAAACTTGTAACTACACATATCCAGGTGAGAATCAAACACAGGTCGGCTGCTTAGTAACACAACACGCTGACCACTGGACCACAATAGCTCTGTTCTAATAGGAACCAAAAATATATATTGCACTGTGACTGACCTGTATCTCTTTCCACCCCTTTAAGATCTCTGATCAAATTATATTAGACTTATTAAGTGCTGAATCATCTGATTTTCATTGAGCAGGTGTATTATTCATTAATATAAATTTTTCGAAATCTTATATTCACTAAGGTGCCACTGTTTGGGGTCGAATGATGATTTACTATTACATCATGATTACCCTGCGGGCTGCATTTTGCTCATGAGGCTGCGAGAAAATAAATAAGAAGAGCGGAGCTGCGGCAAAATAATGAATAAAAAGAGTCAGGCTATGGTCAAATACATGAATAAATGAAAAGAGTGTGACTGCTGAGAGTGCAAGCAGCAAGGGACACCGGCCCTCGCGGCCAAAAAACGGACTGGCCCACCAGGAAATCTCCCGGTCCTTCCGATTAGCCAATCCGGGCCTGAGCATAGATCCCTGTGGTACCCCTGTTTTGAGCACAATGTGAAGAACATAAGCCTTTCTTGCAGAAATCCAGGCCAACTCAGAAACTCTCTTCATACTTCTGATTAGTTTTTATGAGATCTGTGACATGAATCACACATTCAAAATTGAATTGATGTACTCAGTAGACGTTAACATTCTTAGTATCTATTTATGTACACAGTATGCATTTAGATGTGTCATTTAAACAGGAATTGTGTGAGTAAATGGTGTATAAATGTCACAGTACCGATCCTGGTATCCTTTCTCATTGGCAAACCGCTGGAATGCTCCCATTGGATCTGAGCCTGTGCTTAGGATGAAGACCAGGGGAATGGAAGGAGACATGTCTGCATACAGGGTTGTAAGATCCACTGGGGGATTCTCCACAAATTGTTGCCCCAAACCAGTGATAACAAACTCAGTCACGGCAGACACAACCTGGAAACACACAAATTCATGGACTTGAAACACAATTCAGTGATATCATTTACAGTAACGGTCAAAAGTTTGGGGTTAGTAGGATTGTTTAATGTTTAAAAAAAAAGCTGAATTTTCAGCTTCATTACTCCAGTCTTAAGAGTCACAGGTACAGAGTCCTTTAGAAATTACTCTAAGAATATTTATTTATTATTATTATTATTATTATTATTATTATTATTATTATTATTATTATTATTAAAGGTAATAGTAATAAAAGCAATAATCACTTGAATAATAATTTTATTTGAAACTACATAGAATAAGAAAGCAGTTATTTACCATTTTAATAAATATTTAACAATTTAAATTTTTTTTACATTCAATAAATGCCGCCTTGATGAACAGAATAATAAAAAAAAAAACATGAACAAAAAACTGACCCCTAATGTTAGACTGATAGGGAATATAGTTGATCATTATGCATGACTGAAGCAGACTTAACACACACAGGCGCTGTAACATACATGAAAACAAATTTCAGCTTTTTAATATCAAAGGAAAAGGAACTTTTTTGGTATTTTGCACACTTGCAATGTGATGTAATGTGATGGGACACTGACAAAAAGTGCGGATCCAAATGCAGGTTTATTAGCAGTATGGTCTGGCAAGCAATGATCGACATAGGATCAGGTGTGAGTGTGTGGTGCATGACATGATTTGTAGTCCATATGATGACCGAGTTGTAGTCCTAAATGAAAGTAAATGATTCCTAGTGATCTACAAGCTTGGATTGCTGAGGATTGTGACCCTTATTTTTATTCTTAAAAAATATGGTCAAATATTGAGAAAAAAAAAAGTCAGCAGAGATATGTTATAAATTTGCAATTGTGAGAAACTCCGTAATGGTTATACATAAACATAACTTAAGAAATAAACACAAATTAGAGAGATATAGGGTTAAAAGTAGTTATAGCCATGGCCAGACAGATTCTGAGGACATTTTCTTTTTATTAAAAACTTAATATATGAAAATATATAAAAATAGTATATATATATATATATATATATATATATATATATATATATAGTATATTTTTTAATATACAAAAATCTTTTTTATTATTTAATGTTTACAAAACAAATCCACTTAGTTCCATTTAATTGGTAAACAAAGGAAGTCTCTTAATATCTACTAAAAGACAGAATATATTGAAACAATACAAAAAAACAGTATTACAAATAAACAATTTAAACATTTTTATATTAACCAATAAAATTATAGAAACTAATTTAAAAACGGACAAAAATATACATTTACACACATTTAAACAAGCAAATAAAAAGACTGGATGATTGGCTAAAAATCTGCGGATGTCTGTGAGCACAGATTATGTGTGGCCCTACTTACAGCCTTAGCAAGATACTGCTATTATTAATTAATTTTTAACCCCTTTTAAGAAAAGTAGTATATATATATATATATATATATATATTTTTTTTTTTTTTTTTTTTTTTTTTATCTCTGAATGTCTGAATTCATTTTGATATTTTAAGAGGAAGTGTTAGATTGGAATAAACTCTAAATTGTGAGAAATAAAGTCAGAAAAGTGAGTTAATTCCAACTACCATTTTGGTGAGACTTAATTTTGATGGTCCCTATTGCACATTTTGTCATTGCAACTACATGCCAATTAATTGTCATTTGAGTATTAGTAGACAATCTGCTTAATATCTGCTGAAATTTCTCCTTCAACAGACATTTAACTGGCTATAATAAACTTTGCAAATACATTTCAACTTACACTAACCCTAACCCCAACCAAACAGTCTACTTATGATCTAATAAGAATTAGTAGGCATGCAGAATTCAACAAAAGGCGTTAAAGGAGCCATCAAAATAAAGTGATACCACCTTTTTAAATTTGGTTACATGACAACTACACTTTATTACGTTGTTACTAATGAAGTGTTCAGATTCTAGTGTGTGATACCTTCTCCTCCATAAAACTCTTGATAAGGATGAGTTTCTGAAATGCCCCAAGCTGCTGGTTCCAGTGACCTCTGACTTGTGGCTGTTTCTCAGAGGGAATCTCTTCTGAAAAAGGAGGAAGGTCAGTCACATACCCATCCCAATGCTCCGGGCTTACTGTTACCTCCAGCTGCCCTGCACAAAGAAGGACAAAAGAAATATTGTAATTTCTATTATGTGATTCATGCTTTGTAAGAAACTGTGCAAGTATTAGCCAGTGGTTTTTTTTTTAATGAAACAGGAAGAACCTACCGAGTTTGACAGAGATGGGTGTGGATATTATCTCTTTTTTAATCCCATTAAAGCATGGAAGTCGATCTTCCAGATTGCAACAAGTCTCCCAGGCAAAATCAGACAGCCATGGCACCTCTGGCTTCTCTGGCAGTTCCTGCAGTGAAGAAGGATTGTGTTATTAACAGAAAATATGTGAGTGTGTGTCTGTGCATAAGACTGAGAGTAATGTTTCATCATACTGATACATGTCAGAAATCATCAAACAGCATGAATTAAAGTTTGGGACTTTGATCAAACAAGTCATTATTGATTTGAGAGGTAATATGCTGACAAACACTGGATTAGACTGACACATAAAGCTATCTGAAGTAAATTAGTGTCACTGATGGACAGTATATATATATATATAATAAATGATATATCAAATCCATTTTTCGTTTTTGTAATTTTTAAACAATATTAAAGAGCCTCTATTATGAGATTTTGAAAATGACCTTCCATGCAGTGTGCAACACAGCTCTAAGTGAATGAAAACATCCAGCTGAAGGTTAAATCTGAAAATGTACCTTGTTTAAAAATATTTATTTTTATTAAAAAATTCGTTGTTTGTCCAGACCTTTTGCCTGTCTATATTGACGTCGACAAAAAAACAATATCAAATATGAACTGCCAGATCCGGTGGACATGCCTTTCCCTTTAGACACTAGTGGAGTGCGAGGAATCATGGGACTGATCATGATGCAAAGATTACTATCACTGAGAGATGGCTAGACATGTTGCTGTGGGGAATAAAGGGATAAAGTTTATTTTCACAACAATATCACAGTATAGCCAACCTAGAGCTGTGTTTGTTCCTGTCATTTTTTTGATGATTGATACAATAACCAGCCCTGCAACGCAGGATTCGCCGGCAGTTTGCTAATAAAGAAAGAATCAGCAAAGACTACTAATGTATGGGACAATGTATGGGACTCTGTGAGTAACTGTTCCACAGTTTGTATGCACTACTTTCTTTTTCCTCCAGATCCTAAACAACGTGAAGTGTGATTAAAATGGTTGCCTTGTTTTCTGTAGTTTGAAAAATATGTATTTCATTGTTTCTTGTAACTTGTAATCACTTGGTGCGGCTTGTAATCGTGTATCTGTTACAGATCAGTGCTTGTAATGTATCTCCCAGGTTAAATCTGTATGGACTATTTCACATATCGCATCCAGTTGAAAACGCAACACATGCTTTATCCTTTACTGTTTTAAATACATTTTGTGCTCACGATCTCATGCTGTTTGTTGCTATGGCCGCCATCAGCTGTTCCTCACATGCGTGGTGCAACTAATTTTCAAAATAGTTCAACTTTTGCCACTGTGTGGATTAATACTGAATGTGTGTCATTGTTATTACTTGGGGTTATGGTTAAGAATAGAGGAACATGCTGGTGTTTAACTGCATTGCTTTAATGCATTCCAGCATTGGGCTCACGGATATACAGTACTCCGTGCTCTCCTATGACTACTTCCTAACCATGCTGGCGTTTCTCTCTGTCTCACACTGTACGCAGTCGACATCACAACAGACTGGGTCATAGGACCAATTAGTGCAGATTAGTCTCTTGCAAAAGGAGGGTTTGGGATCAAATGAATCGCTGAACAAATCATTGGGATAAATGCATATTATAAGATAATGAAAGTGTTTTTTGACCTTGCATGCATATCAGCCTGTTGCTAGAGACCCCCAAAGCCAAAATATGACCTTTTATAATGCATTATAGGGGCTCTTTAACACCTTATATTTACCAGGTTTATTAAAAAATTTGTGAGGTCAGGCACTGATTTTGGACAAGAAGGCCTGGCTTCACTTTAATTTATCCTAAAATGGTTCTATCGGGTTGAAGTCAGGACACTTTGCAGGCCATTCATTTTGACTCTGTGATAAGTTGCCACTTCTGCACACTGTGCACTTATCATCTTTCCTGCAACTTCATACATTCAACATAATTTCTATATCATGCTGGGATCATCTACTATTATCCTATATATTTCAATAAGGGATATTGGGCTGGAATCTTCCTAGAAGACCAGCTGTCTTTGAATGACCACATTACAAATACAGCCCGATCATGCAAGTTTACAGTTTACAACATCAGAAAGACCAGACACTTTCTGACCAATCATGCTGAACAAACTTTGGTCTGAGCTCTAGTCATTTCTAGGTTGGGCTACTGTTATGTCTGGAGTTCCATGTTGTACCCTTAAACCTCCACAATTAATCCATAATTCTGCATCTTGTCTGGTCTTTAATGAACCCAAGAGACCGCATGTCACACCTCTCTTTATCTCTCTGCACTGGTTACTGGTTGAATCATTAATGATTGTGAGCAATCAATGCACCATCTAACCTCTACTTTCTTTTGAATGTCCACATGTCCTTCAGTAGCCTCTGGTTGGTAAATTAGTGCTGTGTAATGGTACTATCAAAAAGAGGGCTTAAATTACTTTCTAGAATCTTTTTATTCACTGTTCCTCACTGGTGGAATGATCTTCTCGATCCCACATGGACTGCTTATTTACTGATATCAATAAAACAGCACTTGAGCCTCTTAAAAAAATCATTTTCAAAATCCCCTCGCTCTACTTACTGTAGCTCTTATTTCTCTGATAAGTATCAGTTCATTTGTATAGTGATTCTTGTGTGTATTGACTACATGTTGAATCACTTAATGTCTACTCATGTAAAAGTCATTTGGACAAAAGTGTCAGCTCAATAACTAAACGGAAATGTAAAATGTAAAACTTGAATTTAGTGATTTTGAATGGGTGTTAGAAAATGTTGGCAATATAGTGCATATGTAAGTATCTGTTGCATCTGGCGCAAGGCACGGCGCAATAATCTTTTGCTAGTTTCAGCTTGCCGCAAGAGTCGTTTTGAGGCGTTGCGCTACGCTGTTTAAATAGCAAATGCATTAGCTCTCATATGTGCCCCCATAGGCGTTCTGGTCTAAAAAGGAAGGCGTTCTGAGGCGTTCTGAGGCGCACTGCTGGCGCGTTGCTATTTTGAGAAACTAAAGTAGATTTTTCATTAGACCAAAACTAACCCGGTCTAAACTCCAGCGCAGAGTTGCGCCTCGCTTACACACTGCTTAATACGCACACAAGAGAGCAATAGGCAAATATCTTTACATTTGAAAAAATGTCAATATTAAGGATATATATAGGATATAATAAGAATAGATATAGGATATAAATATGAAGGATTAAAATATTACAAAACATATTATTTTCTAGCCTACATAAATATGAAAAATCACTGCTTTTATGTCTTCTTCATCTCGAGAGGCTTTTTCAGTTCATTCATAACAATTTGCTTTTGTATAATGTTATTATTATTAGCAGTATTATTTATTATATCCATATTTATATTTGTTTTATTAAAAACAAGCTTAGATTTGCCCACCTGCAGGTTTTAGACCATAAGGAGCACAGCATGTGTTTTAGGATATATCTCAGGTTTTTGAGCACACTTCGTTAATATTGTTAATTTATTCGTTTGCTGGAAATTAGAAATGAACTTAGAAATAGTTTTGAAACTTTAACAAACGCAATTAATTATTCATAGACTAATTAATATCTGTGCGTAAAGGTTTCCCTATGCAAGAGCGAAAGTGAAAGTAGATCCATTATCTCTCATTCTCAGCAGTAGATGCTCTGTTTAACAGTTTTCTGTTAAAAAAAAAAACTGTTAACTGTTTGCTTGTGAAATGCTCATTTTTTCCACTTAGACTTACTTTGCGTCCTGTAAATAGCAAATGCGCTTATGGTGCGACGCAGCTGGCTCTTAAAGGGAATGGGAGATGAGACTCTAATAGGTTTATTCTCAAAACACACCAATAACTCATTAAGAAAATAAACTCAACCCTTTTAGACCATGCGCCACTTCGCAAAGTGGATTTTCCCATCCTTAAATTAGCAAAAATGCAATCTGACAAGCTTTGCGCCCTGCGTTTTGCGCTCTGCGCATGGACCATCAAAATAGAGCCCATACAGTGAGTTTCTAAAAACAAACAAACAAACAAACAAAAAATAAATACAATGAAAATGAAAGCAATCCTGTTGAATGTTTCTGACTACCTCTGGAAGAAATGAACATACTCAATACATTTCAGACCATATTTACACCTCTATTTATAGCTGTTGTAATGGTCGTAGGTGTGTGCACACTTTTGGTTTTGTCTAGGTTGTTGTCACATGCTGATGTTTTGCCTACATGCATTTGTTTATTGCTATGCCGATCAGCTGTTCTGATCAGATGCCCAGCTGTTCTGATCAGCTGCCTAGCTGTGACTAATTAATTACCATGGCTATATATATCTAAGCGGCAGTCTTTGTTACATTGTCAGTTCATTATTGTTTGTTCACATGACACTGTGTCTTGTCAGAAACCTCAGTGATCTTTCTCTGGCTCACGTTTTGCCAATTGTTGAGAACTCTCGTTTATACTGTTTTTGGACTCTTTTTGCTTTATTATTTTTGACAACTGGTCAATAAAAACACTAAACTAAGCAGGGCAGAGCCTGGTCAGTACCTGGATGGGAGGCTACAGAGAAAAACTAGGTTGCTGTTGGAAGTGGTGAAAGCAACTTGGTGTTAGTGAGGCCAGCAGGAGGCGATCAATCTGAGTCCTAATGCCCCAGTATAGTGAAGGGGACATCATGCTGTCAGTCTTTCGGATGCCATGTTAAACCAAGATTCTGACTCTATGTGGTCATTAAAAATCCCATGGCACTTCACATAAAGAGTAGTGTAACCCCTGTGTAATTTCCTGCTCAAATTCCCATCATTTGCCCTTACCCATCACGGCCTCCCAATCATCCCAATCCACCGAATTGGCTGTATCACTTTCTCTACATTCCACCAATAGCTGGTGTGTGGTAAGCGCACTGGCGCCATTGTCCTGTGGCTGCCGTTGCATCATCCAAGTGGTTGCTGCACACAGGTGGTGGTGTGTAGAGACCCCCTCATGATTGTGAAGTGCTTTGGGTGTATAGCCATACACAATAAATGTGCCATTTCGTTACATTACATGTGACAATGCTTTTGGAAAGTACTCCTTAGTGAAGGTCACTAATAAGCCAGTTGACCACTACTGACTAAACTGCAGCTCTGCTATTTATTCATATTCACTCAGACGAGCCTTGTTTTTTGCTAGTTTTTTTTTTTCTCAATTTCAGTCACCTGATGAAGATTGGTTTCCTTGCCACTATCTCATTTGGCTTCGTTAATCCCATCATTCAGCAAGTGACATTTATTGAACTAAACAGAATTATTAGTAAACTGACATCACTGAGTATGTCTCCAAAACTGCTTGATGATGAACTTCTTTCACATTAACAGAACATCATATCTAATTACTTTTTTGTCGGTTTATCTCTATAAGTTTTATTAATTACATAGGCACTATAGAAATAAAGTTGACTCGGTTGAAGTGGTATGTTGTGACGTTTGATAGACTATAGTGGCCAATTTTGCCAAGGTGTGTTATGAACCTACAAATCTGAATCAATAATAATCTGTTTTTAATTCTGTCTTTCAAGCTATTTGGCATAACCTGAAAATAGCCTTAAAATAATAACCTCATCTCATCAAAAAGGTCACACAATTGCATGCATCATCTATGTCCCTAATTGGTCAGGATGAGATAATGTTAAATAAGTACATAGGATTATTAGTAAAAAAAAAAGCAGAGCTGGACTCTGTTTACTGGAAAATATGAAAAAACATACTGTTTCCATGCATACTAAAACAGCATGGAGACGTAAAAAATGGCCTTTTAATGGGGAGCAAATAGCACTGGACCCTGAGGAAACAGAACACATAGAAAATGACTTCGATCTAAAAATCACCATAATTAAATCCAATTTATGACTTCTAGAAGGATAATTGCCTTATATACAGTATAGCCATTCATGGCTGCTAAAAGGATAATTGTATTGTATTTACAGTAAACCCATTCATCCATTGTATAATTGCTTCATACAGAATAAGAACACACATGCTCACTCAACATTCAGTTCCTCACATACACACACATTAGATTTAAACTAATCATGGGGACTTTCCATAAGGACTTCTGTTGTTTCTATACTGACCAAATATATCTATAAAACACTGTAAGAAAATTTCCATTGCTAGCATTTTTATACTTTCCAAAACAAATCAGTTTTATTATCATGTACTCTACTATACTATACTATACTATACTATACTATACTATACTATACTATACTATACTATACTATACTATACTATAATATACTATACTATACTATACAGAACAATATAGTGGGGATGTTTAGTCCTCAATGTGTAGTAGCATAAACAAGTACAAACACGCACACGCACACACACACACACACACACACACACACACACACACACACACACACACACACACACACACACACACACACACACACACACACACACACACACACACACACACACACAGTGGTGTTCTGTCTATACCAGGGATCACCAAACTTGTTCCTTGCAGATTTGCAGATTTTAGCTCCAACCCTAATCAAACACATCTGAACTAGCTAATCAAGGTCCTACTAGGTATACTTGAAACACCCAGACAGGTGTGTTGAGGCAAGTTGGACCTAAACCCTGCAGGGACACCGGCCCTCCAGGACCGAGATTGGTGAACCCTGATCTATACAGTCACATACTTCATGCCCTTTCCACATCTCTGACCTTCCTTATGCCTCCAGCCCCTCTCAGGAAGTATAGCCACTCCTGCTGAGAGATCTCTCCACGCTGCATCATGATCTCCACGCACAGCATGAAGCTGTAGATGGCCTTGTGCTGCTCAAAAAGGCCACGGGATACATTCGTGTAGGCACTCAGAAGAGTCTGATCCAGCAGGATCTGCAATCTCAGGCTCAGATCTTTGTGCTTCTCTGCTGATTCAATAGTATTGTTGAATAACTGCAAAGAAATTTCCAAGAAATTAGTAAATTGGCATAACGACAGAACTTAAATTTCACTTTAGATAACTGTTCAAAATTAAGGAATCACTGTTTTTTTAAATAAATTAATATTTTTATTTAGCATAGACAGATTAAAAAACAAACTAAAATTGCAATAACTTTCTACTTTCTAGTGATTAAATTATCCTGAAAAAGATGTTTCCACAAAGTTATAAATGTTTTATTTAATGAAATAAGAAATCAGAATAGACTACATTGTACAAAAAATACTGGTTGCCTCAAAGTTTTTTAGCTGAATCAAATTAACCTTATGAATCATTTGAACTTAAAATGACTTTCACGAGTTCATATTTAGCTGATGATTGATTATATAGGGAGTTTGGCATGCTGTCCCAGAAGAGAGCCCTGAACTCATAAGATCCACGAACCCGGGGCTCCCTCCCATTTGCAGGCCGTGGGGAGTTTAAGCTCAGGTAGGTCTCGAGAACTCCCCTTTATTTAGAGGTGATGACATATTATAAATTGCTGTAGGGAGATATACTGCTGGTTAAGAGCTCAGCTATAGCGCTAATTTAGATTGATCAATTCACTTCTGACGCATGTTTTTTGATTGTGGGAAGAAACCGGAGAACCCGGGGAAAACCCACACGAGCACAGGGAGAATGTGTAAACTTCACACAGAAACAACTGGCCAGTTAAGGATTTGAACCAGTGTAGTTCTTGCTGAGAGGCAACAGTGCTTACCACTGGGCCCCCGTCCCGCCCTTTAAAGGGAAAGGTGAAGGAGTGGGGAGAGGGGGATTCTTTAAGGTGGAGACAATTAAAGTAAGAAATTCTGGTTATTTATTGTGAGTTAGGAATCATCTAATTGGTGAACCATGCGTTAGTTAATGCGGGACCAGTCGTGATCAATCATAAGCACATGCTCCTCTCGAAATAAGTTTTAACATTAAGACATCGTCTAAGAATTGAATGTTCTGAAGATGTTCAGAGATCTTCCACAATGTTTTATTACCGAGAATGTTCTAAGAATCTTTCTATAATGTGAATGGATTGTTCTGGTATTGTTTACTGTTGTAAGACGATTAATATAATAACATTATACTAAAACTCTATAGCCCCTTTCACACATACAGACCTTTCCGGAAAATTGCCGGCAATTTTCCGGAAAGGTTGTATGTGTGAACAGGTCCTTTTTGAAAATACCGGTAAATTCGTTCTGGCTATTTTCCGGAAAGAGAAGTTGTAACATTACCGGCAATTTGCCGGAATGCTGCGCTGTGTGAACGCAAAAGGAAGATTACCGTAATAAGCGCGTGCACGTCTAGAACGTGCTGACGTGAGACGTCTGCTTTAGCCGATTACAACAGTCAGACGCATTTACGTCCGCGCGGTTTGTGAGAATAAAAACCTTTGAATATTTTTCCAGACACATTTAGCTGCTAGAAGTTAGTCAGATCACGTTTATATGTTCTTCTTTATGCCAACTGTGTAAATAATCATCGATGAGATGCTTATGATAAGCCGTTGTTTGTTTACCTTCAAGCTTTGCGTGTGCCTGTGAGCGCCTGCACACGCAAATATTATGAACATCTCGACATGCGAAAGTGATCCAGCGAAAGTTGTTCACAATATTAATCATCCACAGAGTTTGTAATTTAGGCAAATGTTTACAAATACAAGCGCAGCCGTTTAAAGCTCATTTGTGGTGAATGATGTCAGAATTTACCGGTATTTTGGAATGGATGTGTGAATGCTCTTTTCCGGAAAATTTCCATAACGTCCTCGCCTGTGTGAACAGCGCTTTTTTGAACATACCGGTAAAGTCGTTCCGGAAATTTTCCAGATATTTACCGGTATCACTGTGTGAAAGGGGCTTATGAAAACTTTTTGAATGATGTTAAAATAACATAAAAAACTGAAAGTTTTGAACATTATGAAAACATTAAAAACAATTTTGTATAACTTAATGGGAATGTTAAGGGAACATTTTTAGAACCTAAAATTGTTATCTCAGTAGATCTTTCCATGCAGCGCACACATTTTAGAATACAAGCCAAACAAACTACAGCTTTTTGGCTGTCCTTTTAATATGTCCAATAATTTGTGGAAGTGGGTGACGCAGTGGTGCAGTAAGTAGTGCTGTTGCCTCAAAGCAAGAAGGTCGCTAGTTTGAGCCTCGGCTCGGTTAGTTGGCACTTCTGTCTGGAGTTTACATGTTCTCCTCGCATTCGCGTGGGTTTCCTCTGGGTGCTCCTGTTTCCCCCACAGTTTCCAGAATGAATGAGGAAGGAATGAATTTGTGGAAGTGTCAACTGCATTCTACAGTCATGTTGCATTCTACAATCAAAATACAGGTAGTGGCAACTGTTTACAAATAGTCATCATAGTGTACAGACCTAAACTGTGCAACCTATTGCTAATGGCATATTTTAATGCATTTCAATGGTTCACACTTGACGCTTAAAGAGTAGTAGGCTTGGTATGCTGTGCCGGGAGAGAAATATAAGCTTGGAGATGATTAAACTCAGGGCTCCCGCCTGGTAAATAAGCACATAAGGGGGTCCGAGATCAGGTAGGTCTCAAGAGCTCCCCGTGGAAAAAGGAAGGAAAAGGAGAAGAAGAGGTGGAAGAGGGGATTCTTCCAAAACGAAGATAAGGTAGCAGGAAGAATTCGATCTATTTATGGTAAGCTTGAATCAATCTGATTGGATTATTGCTGATTAAGGATGAGAGGCCATCAATCATATCACGTGACCCTGCCGAAATTAGATAGTAAAACAATACAATTCTGCTGTTGTGTTTTTCTTCTGAATGTGAAGTGCATGAAATTACAGCAAAGATACATATTGTCTTAAGTAGTGAGTAATGCCAGATTTTCTAGAGAGTCTGTTGGGCTAAAATGTAAAATATAATATATTTGAAAACATATTGAAACTGAAAAAAGTCATTATAAATCATAATTTTACAACATTTTTGTTTAAATGCAGACTTTGTGTGTAAAAAATACTAAACCAAAACATTTAAACCTTATTATACTATGTAAAAAGCATTTAGCTGGGTTACATTTAAATAAATTACAATCAGAAAAAAAATACATTATACAATGGCTGTTGTACACTAAAATTACCTGTTTAAAGTACTTTAGTGAGAACTGATACATGGGGTCAATCTCAGACAGGCTGGCAATGACAAAGTACATGATGGAGCCACGTGTTGCAACAGGGCGATACTTCTCTCTGGCTCTGTTGATCATCTCCTCTGTCGTCTCCGCCTCCACCAGCCGAGACTTAATGGCCTGAGATGTCACCTGCATAGGAGAAATTGTTAGAAAATCAGTTTCTTGTCCTGTATAAGCGTTGTATTCCAAACAGAGACAAATGTAATGACTCGACAGCTTGATGTGTTTGTAAAGAGCTCTAAAAATGCAGAAGGAGCTGTAAAGCTGTCCACACTGACAGCGGTATCTGTGTCACAGAAATACATGAGACTGTAGCAAAAGTGTCAGACAGAGACAGATCTGTTTTTGGTTTTCAAGACAGATATTTCGTTCATTGCCGGGCCAACCTTTCGTTCATCTGTCTTTCTATCTGTACCTCCCATTCAGCCCTTCATTACTCTCTGTGGGTGGCAGAAGAGTGGCAGACAGTGACGTGCAATCTGTGCCTCTGATCTTTCCGCTCGCTCATATTTGGCACAAACATAGTTTGTCAGGGGAATTCTCTAAAAATGAATTGTGCTCAAAATGATGTTTACTTGCCTGCCTCACTAAAGAAATGCGGATCACGAATGCTGAAACAAAACATGTGAATGGTGAACTATTGTACTGTAAAATCTAAAGAAGTCTATCTATCTACTGTAAGTAGAATTTTACAAACATTATTCAAAAATATGGGAACATGCTCCAGTTGGATCACTTGTGATACTGACATTAAAAAGGAAAACTGACATTTGTTTTTCATTTTCCAAAGCCTAATACAAATGCTCAAAAAAGGCTATGGATTAAACTGTTTCATCTTTTACTTTCAAATGAGCATGTATTTACAATCAAATGAGCCTTCTTTCTTTTTCGTTAACTGTGACATTTGCATTGACTCTGAAGTAAATCTCCTTTTTGTGTGAAACATTCATTAACATAGTAGAAAATAACCTTTTAATTAAAAGTATTAGATAAACAGTGGCAACCACATGAGTCTAGACAATTACATGAATAAATGTCAAAGCATTACCAAGCGATTTCAGTAGAGAAATGATGCAAGTCCTGTTCTCAGAGCAGAACTTTAGTTTGGTACATTTGCAGCACATTTTGTTTGAAGTCATAATGAGTGAATGCACATTGCAATTCAAAGGATTGGGGGTATTGATTTTCCTTTATGTATTTGTATTTTTTAAAAGGGCACTTTTTTTTACCCCTTTTCCAAGATTTAATTTAAGTCTTTTGTGTATCCAAAATGTGTCTGTAAAGTTTCAGCCCAAAATACCAATAAGATTGTTTATTATACTTTTTTAAATTCGGGAAATTTGAGCTGTTAGGAAATTGTAGCTGCTTTTGTTGCCTATGCCTTTAATGCAAATGAGCAGGTTCTCCCCACAGGGCTCAACAGTTTGACCATTTCACTCGCATTTGTGACTAAACATTGACGTGTGTGAACTGGAAAATTTATTTGGTCGCACATGTGCGAATTTCTTTTCTAATAAGCTCCATTGATGACTTATTTCACTCGGCCACAGTAAAACAGCATGCTGTTGACACTAACTTATGGTGCATTATGTTGGAAATCTAATGACTGTAGTACATGCTGACGCGATTAACAACAGCACATCTCTATTCCTTTATTTACTTCACGTCAAGTGGTCTTTAAATTGTTTTGTATACGTGGCTAAGCAACGCATGGCACAGAATGGAACCGCACAACGTGTGAGCCTCAGAAAACGTCTACTATTCAGCCATAGATGGTATATCAAGGCACATCTAGTGTGAGACCCAATTCAACATCAGCACTTCCCACACAGACTTTACCTGGGCGGCCTGGTTTTGTGTTCACGAGAAACTGAGAACACACTGCCACAGACCCACAGAGAAGTGCTGTGAAGAAGAGCGCAAGCACATGTGGAAAAGAAAACTCTTTTACTAAATAGACTGATCCAGCTCATTATTTCGTGTGACAATACATATTCCTTTCCCCGGACATGTCCGAGATTCTGCTTTTGCTTTTGACATTAATTGTATTCGTTTTTGCATTACTTTATACACAAACTTTGGCCAGTGTGTCTCAATCTCTTAGCAGCACCAGCACTACAGCAGAGAGAGAGAGAGAGAGAGAGAGAGAGAGAGAGAGAGAGAGCAAGCGAGAATATTCCCATATTTAGCTCTTCTTTAAAAGCCCAGAAAGATAAAGTGTTCTGATAAACAGAGTCAGCTGTGCACAGGAGTCTGTAGTTGTGTCTTTCTTTACATTGTCTTACTGTTCCCATGTGGGAAGTAAGGTGGAATCGGTTTGTGTTATGCAAATAAATTAATTTTGATAAAGTTGTTCTTAAAAGTCACATTTGTTATGTGCTGTAGAGAAAAGGTGTGTTTCAATCTACTGCAAGTATAATTATATTAAATACAATGTGTACAATATACTATTATAAAATTAATAATGTTTTGTTTTGGGCCATTGATAAATCCATAATCTTCTTATGATATCTCAAACACAGATTAAACTACTGCACATTTTACTAACAATAACTTAATAATAACTCCATATAGAAGACTGGATTCAGATCAGTTTAGAGAGGCCTTCATTAGAGCAATTTGATCCCAGTCCTGCTGTGGACCGCTAGCTAAACTCCATACAGCTTAAATTCATTAAGTCATGCTTAGTACCTTTATTAATCTAGGGTCGCCACAGCGGAATGAACCGCCAGCTTATTCAGCACGTTTTACGCAGCGGATGCCCTTCTAGCTGCAGCCCATCACTGGGAAACATTCATGTATACACATACACTACGGCCAATTTAGTTCAGCAATTCACCTATAGCGCATGTGTTAGACCTATGGGGGAAACCGGAGCACCCGGAGGAAACCCAAACTCCATACAGAAATGCCAACTGACCCAGCCGTTGCTCAAACCAGTGACCTTCTTGCTGTGAGGCGAACGTGCTACCCAATGCGCCACCACGTCACCACAGCTTAAATTATAAATACTTATTAAATACTATTTAAGCTGTTATACAGTAAAATAAAACCTATTGTACTTATTGTATTCAAATGAATGAAAATGCTTTGCTTCTAAAGATCTTCTTGTGTGCATTTATTAGGCAAAACACAATTTATTTTATACATTTTCACTGCGCTCCTAAAATTCTTTAATGTGCTCCTACTTAGGATGTGCTTTTCAACTTAGGAGCACATGTGCTACTCCTGAAAAAAGTAAGCGTCAAGCCCTGCCCCACCCACCATTCCCACGTGCGTGTCAGAGCCGTAGCCTTCAAGTAGATTAACAGCACAGTGAAGGACAAGAATAAAGCAGATCTCCCTTACTACTGTAAGAACTTTAATTCAAGCATCATTTTGCAACGATGAGTCATACACAATTTCGTTATAAAGCATGTGTGCGCAGGCACACACAAATACACACACACACACACACACACACACACACACACACAGCTTTGCACTGCTTTTGTGTGCAAATGTGACAGGATACACATTAATGTTCACTGCTGTATGGACATCTATTATGTGAATGTACTGAATAAATAAAACTGATTTAACATCCACAACCCAGTATTGAAGCATCTTATTTTATAATTGTACTGACACTAAGCGGTTGTGGCGTTGAATTACGACGTAGCGATTTTACTGTAATTATTACAAGCAAGCACTGTTTTACTACGTTTTAAACTTGTAAAACTCATTCTTAAGGTGCAGATGATCACAGAGAGCTGAACAGATCTTTTAATCCCAGTTACTTTGCGTGCGTCCAAAGTATGGATATGATTATAAGCATTACTCTAGAGATGTTAATACGTGTCTGTCAATCAATTTGGTGGGCGGAGAAAACAGCATTCCTACGTCACGTTGCGGGAAACCCTTAAAATGGTAGGCATTTGGATCCTATTTTAACATCAGGAAATTAAAAAAAAGAAACTTAGGAGTCTATCACACCGAACGGTCGTACTTTATTTTGATGGTCCATTTGTTGAATTTAAGTTACATTGCATCCACATGCCAACTAATTCTCATTAGATCATAAGTAGATTGTTAGGTTGGGTTTAGGGTTAGAGTTATTGTTAAGTTGGCATGTACTTGCAAAGTTTCTTACTGAATCAGCTGCATAATGTGCGCGAGTGTTGCTGTTGATATTATTTTAATTTGATTTTGGTAATATTGTCCATATATATCCATCTTTAAAAGTCTCCGAAGCTGTCTTGACAACAAAAATACTGCAGGCAACTGAACGGTAACCCCACCTCTGCTTTCATTTGATTGGAGAATGAATAAGACGCAACTGACCTAACGCCCTTTATCGACTTAGAGTTTACTTTTTTTTTACTGCGAGCGAACACCACGCAAGGGCAAAAACATGAGGCGCAGTGGGCGGTTAAAATGTGAGGTGCGTAGGGCACACAAGCAGCACGCAAAAAGCATGCGGCCATTAGAAAATAATTTTTAAAAAGGTGCATCTCAATGAAAAAGCCTGATCGGTGTGATTTATTGTGTTTCTATGACTCCAATATGACTGTGGACACTAAACATACTGTACACACAGTTCTGTCCAAACAGCTTACAAAAGTTGATTTTCAGCATAGGTGCCCTTTAAATCAAATGTATACAATGTTACATTAATTCGATAAACATATACAGTAAAGGCTTTTATATTATTCTTTGCACATGCATTTATACAACAAAGAATCCTGCAAACAAATAGTTATGATAATGTTTCAATAAAATGTTTTCTGTGCCCCAAATCAGCAAACTGAAGACTGAACTCTTTTAAATTCTGCCACTGACCTTTGACTCTTGTAAGGTTTGTACAAGCTCCTCATTGTCCAGTATGTTTCCCTCAGAAGTGAAGAGCAGTTTGAGGATTCGGTCCTCAATGGCTTTCAGTTGGTTTCGGTCTGCGTTTATGCGGACTATCAGCTGGCTTCTCTGTTCTTCCAAGTCAGGACGCTCCAGACGGACTACATCACTAGGCACAGACATAAAGTAAATAAATAAATAAGCACCACGTAAATAAAACCAAATTAAAACCATATTGCGAGAAAATAATTGGTTAGTTATCATCAAACAACAGCTTTTGTCAAGAAATCCATTTGCATCTGATTTATGTTAATATCAGTCAACCTTGATTTAACTCCTACAGTATAATGACTATGTAACTGTACAGCAACTTATTGATATCCATGGCTCATAATATAAAAAGTAAAGTCTTGAAAATCTATATATTTTAAAGAACAAAAATAAAGAAAAAAAACTCAGGCTCTATCCCCCAAGGGAATATTTTGGACCTTTTGAAGGACTTTAGGCGACACAGTGGTGCAGTAGGTAGTGCTGTTGCCTCACAGCAAGAAGGTCGCTGGTTCGAGCCTCGGCTAGATCAGTTGGCATTTCTGTGTGGAGTTTGCATGTTCTCTTCTTGCGTTCGTGTGGGTTTCCTCCAGGTGCTCTAGTTTCCTCCACAGCCCAAAGACATTCGGTACAGGTGAATTGGGTAGGCTAAATTGTCCATAGTGTATGAGTGTGAATGAGTGTGTGTGGATTTTTCCCAGAGATGGGTTGCAGCTGGAAGGGTATCCACTGCATAAAGCATGTGCTGCATAGGTTGGCAGTTCATTTAGCTGCGGCGATCCCAGACTAATAAAGGAACTAAGTCAAAAAGAAAATGAATGAATGAATGAATGAATGAATGAATGAATGAATGAATGAATGAATGAATGAATGAATGAATGAAGGGTGTTTTTTTACTCTTAATGGAGGATCGATTTTGAGATTTATTTTTTTACTGAGTGGTTTGTTTATATATAATCTGTTTGACATATACATTTCAATAATAACAGTGTAAAAACATACTTATATATTATATACATATATGAAAATATTTTCTTATTAACACAACTATAACCACGGAGAATTGTCATTACCGAACAGTCAGCGTTATTACTGGGCAGCTAATATTCGAGCAATGTTATACTGGTCAAATTCATCAAATGACAGCGACCCTAATTGGTTATCCTTAGAAAACATATGAAGTCATTCAAACTCTCTCCATGCTCTGCTTTGCTCAAATTTCCTGACACCTGAATCTTTATCTAAATATTCTTTAAACACAGCTGTCAAACACTCACTCAAAATATGAGCATTATTTAGAAGAAGATTTGCACTTAAAGAACTATCAGCCTATGCCTCCATAGCAAGAAATCATATGTTCACCCCCCTCCACTATAGACTAATATTAAAAGATATGTTTATTGATGGACAATTTGCTTCATTCCAAGAAGTAAAAGTTAAGTTTCAAATTCCAAATTCTCACTTTTTTACATACCTCCAGCAGCAAAGTTTTGTGTCCTCCTCAGTGGGGCACTATCCATCACTGCCCCCTCCTCTCTGCTTGACTCTATCATGGAGCTAAACCCATACTCAAAGGGACTTATTGGCAAAATATATTTTATAGTTAATTCCTACAATCTGGAATCCCTAGTACAATTAAAAAGAAAATGGGAGGTGGAGCTAGAGACAGAACTAACAGAATGGCAACTATCATGTGGCAATCCGTTTGAGACAATATCCAATTTGTTTAAAACAGAGTTATACAATTTAAAGTAGTGCATAGCTTACACTGGTCTAAAGTGAAACTAGCCAAATTTAAACCAAATATAGAGCCTATTTGTGACCGATGTAATACTGAGCCAGCTACTCTATCTCATATGTTTTGGGCTTGTTCAAAATTAAAAGATTTTTGGCAGCTAATATTTAAATTTCTCTCGGACGCATTGAATACCTATATAAAACCTGAGGCCAAAATTTAAATTTTTGGGATCACACCACAGTCCTTATGTTTTAAAAAAGCAAGATAAATGTGATTGCCTTTGCTACGCTTTTAGCTAGAAGATTAATATTGCTGAAATGGAAGGAAAAACTTCCTCCAACCTTTAAGCAATGGCTTATGGAACTCCTACTACCTGACCAGTACGGTAGGAAGCCGTACTGATATATTTATTCTCATCTGGCAACCTGTTTTAGATCACATAAAGAAAATGGACCCCTCAGTCATTTTAGAAGTGTAAAACGTTTCCTTGTTTTTTTTTTAATTAATTATTTATTATTTCTTTTTTTTTCTTCCCTTTATATATGAGAGTAAAATATGTTTTACTTAATATTATTATTTATTTGTATTTTATCTTAATATTATTTATATATTTTTATAGAACCTAAATGCATATGTGTGCAGCTGGTTTTTGTTGTTTGCTGTGTAAAAAAAATGAAAATAAAAAAGTGAAAAGCTATTTGTACTGTGCGATTCATATCTAATGTGTTTAATAAAAATACTTTTGAATACTAACAGAATAATAAAAAGAGTATCCCCTCTGTAAAAACCTGGCTCACTGGTTAAAAACATAGCAACATAATGAAACTCTCTGGTGTTCACATATAATTTCTGAACAGATGGGTTCATGTTGATTCAGAAATTACCTTAGAATTTGATCTTCCAGTCCAGATTTAGTAACAGTGAAGTTGATTATGGTCACTTTGATGCACACCTGGCATAGAAAATAATCACAAAATGATTAAGGCAACATTAACACAATCATATCACATTTTAAATTGTACAGTATCAACCTGAAATCAATTCAAATAAATAACTTGTTTTGATTTTCCTCAGCTTGGTAATTAATGGATAAAACAGCATAAACTAAACATTTAAACAATGATTGGCATCATCTGCTGAATGTGTGCCCTTAAGAGCCGCTGCTGTTGTCCCTTTTCTCTCTAAAAACTCTCTAGAGGCACACTTTGATTGGCTCTTATGTTTTGTATTGGCTGTCTGTCTGTGAGACTGTTTCTTTAGTCCAGACTGGTCTGTCAGCACAGCTCATCTCCCTTAGTTAAGCTGAAATGACAGGTCTGTCCAGTCTCTAATGCTAAAGCTTACAATGGCACATCCACGTTTGACAGGCAACCATATCTGGTGGTGCGCTCTCTGCCTGCTGCAAGTGCTGTTGCCTGTGGCCCTGTCTGTTATGATTGCTAGGGCATTGTCTCTTGGCAGGTGGGCACTGATCCGCAACCACCCCAGAGTTTTGCAGCAAGAGTTTAAATGGCATGGAGCCAGTGAGAGATTGGTGCACAAGGTGGTGGCACAACAGATTTGTGAAGGGCTGGTGCCAGCCGTGTCTACTTTGCTGCAGAGCCAAATCCAGTTGACCTTATACAGGTGTCAACCTCCATCCCAGAAAGCCCTATCTAAAATTTCCCCTGCCGTTTGCACAATAGTCTGAGAAGCTAAATTAAACAATGAGCTGCTAATGAAACACAGCCAGTAATTAGATACAACAAAAGACCGTAGGGGATAGACATTTGCATGGAAGAATATATTTTCATTGTGACACTGATTATTAGATACCAAATACAATAAATATTGAAGAGAGTATTTATACTTAGCCACTTCATGTTTTTATGAACAAACAACTAAAATAAAATTTAAATTTCCAAACTGATAAATTAACTAAAACAAAAAATGTGAATTGTGAAAGTTCTGTAAGTCCTCTCACATTCGTAGCATCTTAAGGTGTTTTCACACCTGCGGATCTATTCTTTTGTTCCAAAACAGGAATTAAAATTGTAACAATGTTGCACTTTGTTCTTGGTGTGGTTCGCTTTTTACACGGCAACGTTTCTAAACGGGCCAAAATAGCTAAAACAAGTCACGTGCGAGTAAACTTTATTTTATTTTGCAGAGTCCCGCTTAGCTGTTGTGCATCCTTATTTTAATATATGAAGATTTTGAATGGTGACACCCACAGACATCATCACTAAATAAAAATCAGAGGTAAGGCTTTATCATACATAGCAGTTGGCTTATGCATTATAGGCTTTACATAATAGATAGAAAACAGATAAACCAAGATTATTGTTCGGTTAAACAGCTCTCATTAATAGTTAACATGCTTTCACTTTTGTATTTGACATGAAACACATTTACCAGTAGGAATGACATCCCCTCCTACTCATAATTCTTCTCATTTCGGCGATCTCGGACTGATTGTTTTGGCGCGGATCCGAGTGTGATTGCTGGATTCACATATGCCAAACGAACTGCGCTAACTGGGGAAACTTGCCAACAGAAACTAAAGTCTGGGCGTGAAAGCACACTTAGACATACAGACACACAATAATTATTTGTTTTATTGTTATATAACTTTAGTGTTTTTAAAACCTTGTTCAGAAGCAACATATGAAGTTTAATTTCGTGCTTCATTGAGATTATATACGTATGCCATACTTGGCTGCTTAAACATATGATTCGTTCAGCAATTTCAAAGGTGATGTTTCCATTAGCTATGTTAAATGTGTCTGGTTGAGTCCAGCTGCAATCCATCTATTACTAACAACACATCTTATTTTGAATGCATGCTCTTGTACAATAGTTTCGGCTTGTGTGTGTATATGAATGGCCTGGGCACAATCTTGGATCCTGTCTTTTATATCGTGGAAACTGAAACCACTTCCTCATCCGTCAAAAAGTTGACAACGAGACAACATTTAAGGCTGAGGAGGGTTTGCTATTGTTTGATCATTTGTTCTCGCAGCACAGCAGAGGTGGAGTACTGTGTATTTGGGAATTTAGTATCAATTTTCAACCGTCTTAGTTCTTTTGAAGTCTTTGAGCAAGTGGCTATGACCATTTATTTGTCGCATTGTTTGTTTCAATTTGTTATCTCTCTGACCTACATATAATTATATATGTTGGTATTTTACTATGGTAATGCCTACAGACTTTTATGTGAATAGTGCGTGTGGAATTATTTATATTTTAAAAAGAATATAATAGAATAGAATAGAATAGAATAGAATAGAATAGAATAGAATAGAATAGAATAGAATAGAATATAGGCATCACGGTGGTGCAGTGGGTAGCACGATTGCCTCACAGCAAGAAGGTTGCTGGTAAAAGTTCTGACTGGGTCAGTTGGCATTTCTGTGTGGAGTTTGCATGTTCTTCCCATGTTGGCGTGGGGTTCCTCCGGGTGCTTCGGTTTACTCTATAGTCCAAAGACATGCACTGTAGGTGAATTGAATAAACTAAATTGTCTGTAGTGTATGTGTGTAAATGCAAAAGTGTACAGTATGTGTGTTTCCCAGTGTTGGGTTGCGGCTGGAATGGCATCCACTAGGTAAAAACCTATGCTGGATAAGTTGGCGGTTCATTCCACTGTGTCGGCCCTTGATTAAAGGGACTAAGCCGAAAAGAAAATGAATGAATGACTAATATAAAATAATAGATTTATATAAGACACAGGTGGCCCAGGCACATAGTGTAGTACTGCACATTAGCATTAAGCCATTTGGTAAAATGCTTTGGTGGACACACATCCTTAGTGTTAAGCAAGGTAGCCCAGGCATACATGGACAGTAAAAATGTGACTCGATGGCTTATAGTGCAAAAAAAGAACAAGCACATCAACATTATCAAATAGATATTCATTTCAACATTTTATATAAATCTATAAAACAGGTAAAAACAAAAGGTGCCTTAAAGCTCTCTAAGCTTTTGTCAACTTATATAGACTGACCCCCTTGAATGTAATGTATTTTCTTTTATATTATTTAAGGTTTATTTATGTTATTTTTTTGGATATAATGTAATATGTTTAAGACCGCAAGTTGAAAATACCTGTTTGTTATTTAAAGTTAAAAAAAAAAAGATATTCCTATACTTTACTAACCCTCTCAGAGAGTTTTAATTGAATTTGCATATGAAAACTAGAAGGTTGAATTTATATTTTTCTTTTAGTGTAAATGGTTTTGATATTTTGGATAGATAATAGCACAAAAGGTCAACATGATGGCTCAGTGCTTAGCACTGTCACCTCACAGCAAGAAGGTCGCTAGTTCGAGTCCTGCCTGGACCAGTTGGCTTTTTTGTGTAGAGTTTACTTGTTCTCCCCATCTTGGCGTGGGTTTCCTCCGGGTGCTCCGGTTTCCCCTATAGTCTAAAGATATGCGGTATAGGTAAATTGAATAAACTAAGTTGGCTGTAGTGTATGTGTGGGAATAAGTGTATGGTTGTTTCCCAGTACTGGGTTGCAGCTGGAAGAGCATCCGTTGCGTAAAACATATGCTGGAATAGTTGGTGGTTCATTCAGCTGTCGCGACCCCTTATATAAATAAGGGACTAAGCCAAATGAATGAATGACCATCGCACAAAATCAGAAAAGTAAACAGGCCCTACATTTTAAGTGTTTTGAAAAAGTTAATTGTTTTTACATATAATGTAATTGAATAAAATTTTGTTGAATTTGATGTCATTTATTTCTTGTTATGTCTATCATTTGCTCCGATTCGCTCACAAACCTCAGGAAGGTAGTGGGGATTGGCCATTTTGGTGGTCATGTAAAAACGGAAGTTTTTATCATAGTCAATGTCAGAGTCTCCAAGTCGTATCAATGTTCTGCCACCTGACACAAACGTCTGCTTCAGAAGAATGGGCTCCAGAGCAGGGTCCAGAGTTTCTTTTAGCTGTACACACAGAGAAATATTGCAGTTATGACAAATATCATTCAGCATTCAGTTTCATGTTTATGTTAAATCTATTTATGCAACAGCTGCAAAGTCTCTTCTTAAAATAAATTTAAAAATAGAAGCTGGGGGAAATCTATACGCCTCAGTTATCAGCAGTGAAAACAAACATGACTGAAACTAGATTCATCAGAAAATCACATCTGGCAAGAGTCAGAACTAATAAACTCACAACAGAATCACTCATTTAAGACTGAATTACACTATTCAAAGCTAATCAAATCAGTTTGGCAGTGTTATTGGTTACTAACTCTAATTCATTATTTAAAATATATAATTACTTTTCTTCAGCAGTGCATTTGTATTTAAATTTAACTACAAACTGTCAACATTGAAAGACAAACAAAGATTACCTCCTCTAGAAGAACAGGCATGCCCAGTCGGATGGCATTCTCTAGTGTTCGGAGAAAGCCTGCATCAGTAAGCTTGATCACCTTTAGACCATTCTTTGTCTCTTTAGACCGTATCCAACGATTTGCCTGGATGCAAAATGATAAAGCTTGGATTTAATGAATGTATTAAGTAATAACTCATTTTAATATTGAATACTTTAAAGCAGTGGTTGTCTCTAAAAGTACCACCATAATGAGCAGTATTACAATACAGTAGTGTAGTAAGCCCAGTAAAGCAGCTACAGCTCTGCACAGTTCTAAAATGTGGCTGATTAATTTCTATAATTACAAATATTTATTATTATCAGCCATTTAAAACATTATAAATAGTCTGAGCTTTAACACTGTACAGTGCTTATTTGTAAAGAAAAACTATCTAATAAATAAAAACTAAAAACGTCAACATTTAAATTAAAATGGGCTTTTAAAAGTTCAAATTGGTAGGTTAATGTTATTAAAAAGTTAAAAAAAAAAGTGCGGTACTTAAATGTAAAGTATTAACATGTAGTAGCCAATTCATTAACACCTGGAAATGTTGCTTGGACCTCAGAAATAGGCTTTATGTCCTATAATAAATAGTATTATATGTTATGTTTATATATAAATCATTTTTGATAATATTTGAAATATATGTAGCATGTATATATGACACATTTGATATCTCTGCGTACCACTAAAAGGAACCCCGCGTACCACTAGTGGTACACGTACCACAGTTTGAGAACCACTGCTTTAGAGTATACTGTACATTGTGTTTAATACATTTAAAAGGGAAAGTTTAACACAAATGTAATTCTTTATCAGCAGCGCATATTACGCTTTTATCTACAATGTAAAATATATTCTGCATTTTCATTTTCTCAACATAGTTTTGTAAGTTGAAACAACAAATGTGTTAATTCAACTTAACCTGGTAAGTTTTCGCTGTCCTAACTAGTCTGTAATAGACCAGCATTCTTCAGGTTGTGCCCCATACTTCCAATCCAGCAGTTGGCGGAATATGTACCATTAAGTCAGTTTAAAGGATTTTTTTACCATCACCATGTGTATGTGTGGACTTGAATATGTGTGTGTCTGACAGAGATCTTTATCAGAAGGAAAAAAAAAATCTTTATCAGGTGAAAGGGATGTGACAGCATGTCTGACAGAGATTCTGCTGGAGTGAAGAAAGGAATGTCCTATAGAAGTGTGTGTGTGTGTGTGTGTGTGTGTGTGTGTGTGTGTGTGTGATACGCATGTAGAATGTTAAAATCATGATGCTGTGCTGTTTGCGTCACAGTATTTTGTGTGTGTGTGTGTGTGTGTGTGTGTGTGTGTGTGTGTGTGTGTGTGTGTGTGTGCGTGTGTGTTGGCATATGTGGTTTATGGAACCAATTTTCAGGTTTACCCACCAGCATTATGAGACCATTTTGTTTATGAGACCATTTTTGGTGGTCTCATAAACTAAAAATTTAAGTTGATATTAAAAATGGTTTAAATGATGATTATTCATTACAATGACCTAAATGATAATTATAAGACTTGTTTCAAAAGTTCACATTGTTATTTGGTTATTATTACACTTGGTGTGCTTTTTATGACCTTTACAAATATGGTCTTGTAAACCATGATGTGTATGTGTGATCTTTGAACAGCGCCTCTGTAGGCGGAACTTGGTACTGCACTTCTATACACACTCGCGCCAAATCTTACACAATTTCGCGCCATAAATTCAATCGCGGGAAAACGTCCCTCATGAAGACTGTGGACGTGACAGTCGCGCTTCAAGCAGCGAAACTCACATCAAACAAGTAAGTCATTTGTTTTTAATACTTTGTACATTATTTATTATTATATGTACTGTATTATTCCACTTGTTATTAAAAATAGCAAGTTTATTTATATATTTATATGCGGCGCGTACTGTTTTAGACAATAATAATTAGTGACTGGGAACAGAAGATGAGAACAAATAAACGTTAGAAATATGTGTTTGTAATGGCAGTATCAGACCTAAGTTAGTTCTTCAAAATGTGTATTTGCTAATAATAGCACGCGCTCGGCCTGTATCTGGCTCGGAAGCGCCGGTGTCGATTTAACCCAGAACCGGGCAGAGCTCACTCCTCCGCGGTAAACAATTCGCCGTCTGATTCCATGAGATGTAACGTTATGAAGCAATGACCATTCGAATATGGTATAAATAACATGGTAACAAGGTATATTAAACATAAATATGAAGTAGAAACAATTTACTAAACTTGAATTATTAAGCATGATTGAACAAAATGTTTGAATTTAGTAATGTAAATGTGTGGTTTTATTTTTTCTAATGTTTTTTTGTGATAAACTTGTGTTCAGTTAAACTGTACATTTGAATAAATGAACTTTTATTATGAAAAGAGGTTAACTAACCCTAGTTAAATAACTTTATTTGATCAAATTGTCAAAATAGTGCACTACTAACTTATATTTTGTTAAATGGTTTAAAATGTGATAACTGTATTATGAAATTTGATAATTATATTACTATTTTGTTCTGTTTTGGTCTTCTTTAGAGAATTTTACACTACGTCACATATATTAATACTGCTTTGCATATGTGGTATTGTATTGATATTATAAACTGTGAAGTTTAACCTTATATAATATTTTAACAGTGAATGAATGGTGGTAAGAGTCAAAGCAGAGGATTAAATCATTTGAAAGATGCTTCTCATCATGTGAGGTTGGGGAAGGATAAAGACATGCTTACGTGGAGGTACATCAGTGACATCAAAGGTACCAAAGTTTTGTACATGTTTTTTCTTACTGCAGGTAACCCCCAGTTAATGTTTCATTATAAGCATAGTGTATAAAATGTTTAGATGCAAAAAGGAGTTTAATTTAACACAAAAAAATTAAGTCATTAATGATGATTTGATGACATGACATTATAAATGTCAACAAATAACATTTAAATAATAATAATAATAATAAAAGAAATGTCCTAATTGAAAACCACACTTTTAAATGTTAATGTTTAATTTAAGAGTCTAAAAAATGCTAATATTAATGATTTCCATATTAGTGAAAAGTTAAAACTATTAAAGATTTTACACTATCCAGGGCCTGATTAACCAATGGTTAATAACACACATTGATGGAATAAGCCATTTACACAAATTTTGTTAGACAAGTGATGTCTGACCGACAGATACAACATAACTAAATAGCGCCAGTGGTGTAACTTGTAATGCACATAGCAACATGTTTTGACGCGATTGATCATCAACTCGAGTTCTAATATACTGTCTGCTGAACTTATTCTTATTTTTTTTCTCCCCATTGCATATCCGATGGGAAATACATATATTTTTAATAGGTAGGAAACATTTAAAAAAAAATTAAAATAATGCAAATGTTAAACAAAGTCACAAGTGCCTCGTGTGTTTTGATGATGTTTATCTTATTTCTCTAAATAGTTATTTTAAATATATAATAAAGTTATTTTCAAATGTTAGCAACATCTTAATAGAATTCATTTGTATTTATTTATTTGTGATGTTAGTCACTAGGGGTGTAACGGATCACTGTTGATCCGTGATCGATACGGATCACAACCCACGGTTCGGAATGCGCGTGACTCGAAGATTAATAACTTTTTTTGAACTTGTAGGTTAATCCAACATTTATAACAATCGCAGAGAGATCGTCTCCCGTGTCATTCAAATTGCATGAATGAAAGCATTTTGGCTTCCCTGTAAAATATAATGATGACGTTGTGGGACCTACCTAAATGCTTTTGGCTATTAAGGTGTTTTTTGTCACTGTTTGTTTAGCCTGCATTAATGCATTCATTATGGTAAGAATAAAATCACTGTTTAATGAAACAAGATGCTGGTGAAAGCAACTACATTGTGTAACCAACAGATGGCGACAAACAAACATCAAAATTATGTCATTGAATAGGTTTTCAAATATAATACACCTACAGTATAATGAAACATGAAGTTTTATGTGTGAATTGTTGAATCATTAATTGAAGATAAATATATGTTTTAGCTGGTTATTTCCTGATTTTTATTTTTTTATTAAAATTACAGGTGCTATATTCTGTTTGTTAAAAGCAATGTTTTATGCAGTAACATTTTTGTATAAATGGAAAGCAAATTGTCTCCTCCCTTTTTTGCTGATCCAAAAAATGGTCCGATCCATAACTCAAAAAACGTAGAGTGATCCGAACTGCAGATTTTGGATCCGTTACACCACTATTAGTCGCCCTTTCCCAAACCCTGGTTAGCCTGTCGATTATCATTTGCCACAACTAGCGCTACTTCACCCATATTCTCCTACCTCATGGCTCTGTTGAAGAGCATTTAATAGGTTGCACATGCCTTAATAAAGGTTGCCTCCCTCTCTTTAAAAACATTTTTTTAAAAACTAGGCATTTCCTCTTAGCAAATAGTCAATATCATATATTATTATTATCATTGTATTTAAATTGTCAGAAAATGTCACCATGTATAAAAAGCATGCAGATTTTTTCCTTTCCTTCTTTCCTTTTTTTAACTAAATAGCATGCTCTAATTGGTGAAGTGCATGTAAGTTTTGAAATAACCTGCACTGAATTGAGCGGACTGTAGTGTAGTATTTGCCGTAGATCAAAATGAGTGAACAAGTGGATTTGGCAATCACAAGAGAAAAAGAGGAGAGGGTGCATCTTTATTAAGGCATGTTTCATGTATTCACTCCTTCGAACAGACCCATGATGAGGAGAATGAGGGTATAGAAGACGTTATGGTAATGTTATGTGCAAGCTAGCATTAACCAGGCGGAGGATGCTAATGGCAGTGCAGACTGGATTCATCGTTTGTCTGAGGGCGTACTCGCACTGTACAGTTGCCATGAACCAGGCTGAAGCATGCTTTCCCCCCCTTCCGTTTCCCCCTACGGCCTGCACTCACATTGCATTCGTGCCTGGGCACTCTTATGTCATCGAACATGTGCTGTTCAGTAAGAGCTCTCGCAAAGCACAGTGGAGAATAGTAATAAATACCTTTTAAAATATATATTTTAGTACTGCTTCAGTTAACTTGAACAAGTGTACTTATACTATCAATTTTCACAAA